CATTTTAAGTGTAACTGTTAGAACATAAATGACTATGGTATCTGGTTGGCCCAAGTCAAGACTCTGGTTCCTTACTGGTGATTTACAGTATATATGCCTGCTGTTGCACTGTCTGACTGAGTCTGGATTGGGTAACCACGAAGTTGAGAGGTCCAGTATTGATGGGACAATTGAATCACTCCTTACTCCTGGATGTTGATCGAGAGATGAGCTTTCTCCAGTGACCAAGTCCCTTGCACCATAAGGGTGTCCTGGACTCCTCCCTGATCTGTCAAGCTGGCATCAATTGTGAGGATCCTCCACACCATTGGCTTGTGAGCCACCAAGCCAGGGATAGTATAGTCCTCAGTGTGTCACAGTCTGGATCTGAACCTGCGACTTCTGTGGTGTGGTGTTGAACAGCTATTATCTCTAATTATCTATTGGTTTTCCGGTGAACCTTGAACTCTTTGCTCCTCCCATGAACTTCTTGACTTCATGGGAGGTATACTTGTGGTATACTTGGATTTTGCAAAAGTATTTGACACAGTTCCCCACACATGGCTAATGTGTAAGGTAAAGTCTACAGGCTTGGAAAAATCCATATGTAAATGGATAGAAAACTGGCTAAAAGATCGTATTCAAAGAGTAGTGGTTAATGATTCATACTCTGAATGGTCTAGGGTTGTCAGTGATGTACTCCAAGGTTCAGTGTTGGGACCCTTACTTTTTAATATATTTATAAACGATATAGGTTCTGGGATTAAAAATCCAATTTCAGTCTTTGCAGATGACAGCATGCTATGCAGTGAAATAACGTCCTTACAGGACGTCTTCAACTTACAAGCTGACCTCAATGCACTGGTTGATTGGGCAACTATGTGGCAAATGAGGTTTAATGCTGATACATGTAAAGTTATGCACTTGGGGGCTAAGAATATGCATGCATCATACATACTAGGGGGAGTACAACTGGGGGAATCAATGTTGGAGAAGGATCTGGGAGTTCTGGTAGATCACAAGCCTAATAATAGCATGCAATGCCAAGCTGCAGTTTCTAACGCAAGCAAAATCCTCTCTTGTATTAAAGAGGTATAGACTCCAAAGAGAGAGATATCATGCTACCCCTGTACAAATCATTAGTAATACCTCATCTTGAATATGATGTTCAGTTTTGGGCACCAATTCACAAAAAGAACATTGGGGAACTGGAGAAAGTACAGAGAAGGACAAAGGAGATCAGCTATGAGGAAAGAGAAACTGAATTTATTCTCTCTAGAGAAGAGGAGATTAAGGGGGGATATGATCAACATGTATATATACATCAGTGGTTCATATAGTGAACTCGGTGTAGAGCTATTCACCCTGAGGTCATCACATCACAGAGGACAAGGGGGGCATTCTTTACGTATGGAGGAAAAGAAATTTAATTTCCAAACACGGAAAGGTTGCTTCACAGTGAGAGCTGTGAAAATGTGGAATAGACTCCTTCAAGAGTTGGTTCTGGCCAGCTCAGTGGATTGCTTTAATAAAAGCATGGATTCTTTCTTAGATACACAGAATATAATTGAATACTAACATTTATAGGTAAAGTTGATCCAGGAAATATCTGATTGCCTCTCAGGGGATCAGGAAGGAATTTTATTCCCTGCAGGAGCAAATTGGATCATGCTTTGCAGGGTTTTTTTTGCCTTCCTCTGGATCAACTGTGGTTATAGGATTATAACTTTTTTTTTTTAATGGTTGAACTGGATGGGCTTTTGTCTTTTTTCAGCCAGACTAACTATGTAACTATGCAAGTCAAGTCATGTCTCTGCACTTTCTGATTGCTAGATTATTGTGCTCTTTCCAGCTGATATTTTGCTCCTTTGTGTACCTTCAACCATTTGCTATTGACCTTTGAGCTGTTCCTTGACTACTTCAATAACAAGAACAACCACGCTACCATTGCTGCTTATAGACAAATTGTAATCTAAAAACCTAAATAAGTTTGCTGCTGAGCACGGATGCATGTTCCCACACCAGAATAGACCAATTAGGCAAAGAAAATGCTGCGATACCTTCTGTGATAAGTATTACACTACCTTAATGATACTTAAACTAACATCAAACAATATTTTCACCCATATTATTGTCCAGATGTTACACTTTTTTGTCCCACTTAGCCGAAATATTGAGTTACAGAAGGCTCAGGAAAAGCAGAAGCCTTGACTAAGCAGTGTCTAGAAGGATATTGAGATATTCCTAGTGATGGATCAGTTCCAGCACTGACTTCTGAAGTTTCAGGATTCAACTAACCTTTGGAGAATCTGAACAGTTTGGTGGATATTGACTAAGTTTTTGCCGCCTGTTTTATCCAGGTATCCCAGAATTAGAACATCTTGTGAGGGTAGCAGTGCTAGAACAGGAGTCAGCACCTTGGTGAAAACTCAAGGTGCAGTGGACAACCCAAAGGGGACAACAGACTGATAGTGTACCATGCCCACAGCAAGGTAGCATTGATGTGCCTGAAAGATGTTACATACTGGTATCCTTTCTTGATGTCTACTAAGGCTAGAAAGTATCCTTAAAAGAGGTTTTGGGGAAAGTTGTCCTAGTTAATCAAGTAACAATACGGCATTTCAAAGGGTATTGTACATGGTGTAGATAATCTAAAATAGTCCAATAAGCCATCTGCAGTAAACTAGAACCTGGTATGCTGGTATTGCTCTTTGCATAGCCTTATTGATCAAGTCCATTGCACTTGTCCAACCTCTGTACATACCTTCCTGGGATTAGAAAGAGGGACAATTTTAGCACAATGTACAGTATATAGGCAAAGGCGACATCCCTGCCATGCCATTCATTACTTGGACCATAAGGAATTAATATGTGAAAAGGACAATTAGTTAAAGCCTAAAGTGTATTTTTCACCCTTGCTTTTTCTTTATCGTAGTTTTTTTAAATTAAAACAATAATCATTTAAAGCTGGATGAAAGGTTTAATGCACTATAACATTTTTGGTAGTTATTTTAAAGAGATATACAGTATCTCACAGAAGTGAGTATACCCCTCACATTTTTGTAAATATTTTATTCTATCTTTTCATGTGACAACACGTAAGAAATGACACTTTGCTACAATGTAAAGTAGTAAGTGTACAGCTTGTACAACAGTATAAATTTGCTGTCCCCTCAAAATAACTCAACACACAGCCATTAATGTGTAAACCACTGGCAACAAAAGTGAGTACACCCCTGAGTGAAAATGCCAAAGTGGGCCCAAAGTCTCAATATTTTGTGTGGCCACCATTATTTTCCAGCACTACCTTAACCCTCTTGGGCATGGAGTTCACCAGAGCTTCACAGGTTGCCACTGGAGTCCTCTTCTACTTCTCCATGACGACATCACAGAGCTGGTGGATGTTAGAGACCTTGTGTTCCTCCACCTTCCGTTTGAGGATGCCCCACAGATGCTCAATAGGGTTTAGGTCTGGAGACATGCTTGGCCAGTCCATCACCTTTACCCTCAGCTTCTTTAGCAAAGCAGTGGTTGTCTTGGAGTTGTGTTTGGGGTCATTGTCATGTTGGAATACTGCCCTGCAGCCCAGTCTCCAAAGGGAGGGGATCATGTTCTGCTTTAGTATGTCACAGTACATGTTGGCATTCATGGTTCCCTCAATGAACTGTAGCTCCCCAGTGCCGGCAGCACTCATGCAGCCCCAGACCATGACACTCCCACCACCATGCTTGACTGTAGGTAAGTCACACTTGTCTTTGTACTCCTCACCTGGTTGTCGCCACAAGCTTGACACCATCTGAACCAAATAAGTTGATCCTGGTCTCATCAGACCACAGGACATGGTTCTAATAATCCATGTCCGTAGTCTGCTTGTCTTCAGCAAACTGTTTGTGGGCTTTCTTTAGAAGAGGCTTCCTTCTGGGAGGACAGCCATGCAGACCAATTTGAGGCAGTGTGCGACGCATGGTCTGAGCACTAGCAGGCTGACCCCCCACCTCTTCAACTTCTGCAGCAATGCTGGCAGCACCCATATGTCTACTTCCCAAAGACAACCTCTGGATATGATGCTAAGCACGTGCACTCAACTTCTTTGGTTGACCGTGGCAAGGCCTGTTCTGAGTGGAACCTGTCCTGTTAAACCGCTGTATGGTCTTGGCCACCGTGCTGCAGCTCAGTTTCAGGGTCTTGGCAATCTTCTTATAGCCTAGGCCATCTTTATGTAGAACAAAAATTCTTTTTTTCAGATCCTCAGAGTTCTTTGCCATGAGGTGCCATGTTGAACTTTCAGTGACCAGTATGAGAGAGTGAGAGCGATGACACCAAATTTAACACACCTGCTCCTCATTCACACCTGAGATCTTGTAACACTAGCGAGTCACATGACACCAGAGAGGGAAAATGGCTACTTGGGCCCAATTTGGACATTTTCACTTAGGGGTGTACTCACTTTTGTTGCCAGCAGTTTAGACATTAATGGATGTGTGTTGAGTTATTTTGAGAGGACAGCAAATTTACACTGTTATACAAGCTGTACACTCACTACTTTACATTGTAGCAAAGTGTCATTTCTTACGTGTTGTCACATGAAAAGATATAAAATATTTACAAAAATGTGTGGAGTGTACTCACTTCTGTGAGATACTGTACATATTAAACAAAATGCAGGACAACTAAGGATGAAAAAACAAAAGAAATTCCCTTCAAATAACACCAAGTTGGATGCCACGTCCTTAGTCCCCATTAGGACAGAAGCTTATTGCTTTGACCTAAAGTGAAAGAACTGGAATTTTCAGTTACAGTAATAAGGCTTCGTAAGACAGAAGGCATACTTGTGTCTATTTTTTGCTGCAGAAGCTAACAGGGAACCCTACTGATTACAGAAAAATGACACTTCCCCTTTAAAAGCACCAAGTGATATCCCATGACACGTATTACATACAGCTTTATTTCTAGATTAAGCAGGAATAAACTGGTAATGATGCGGTCACTAAATAATAGTCATGCAGACACTCTAATCACACCTTATCTTCTCGTGCAGGTTTTCTTTCAGCTTCTTCACTTTTCTTCTCCAACTCCAGTTCAAGCTTTTTAGTTTTCTTCTGAAGCTCATCTATCATGCTCTGTTTACTGTCCAGATCGGACTTGCTCTAAAAAGATATGGATATTTAAAATGTTAGCTATAATCCCGTTAAAAGAGTAACATTTACATAAAGTAATGAGCGCTAAAGGATGTTTTTAATGGGATTCTATAATCAACAGTGAGAATTTTAGATTAACATGTAAACATAACCTTTGAATGAGCATTGCTTCATAGCTATTTTTGCAGTAAACATTTTGCACTTCACAGAGCCTGTTAATAAGAGCAGTGATGTACTGTAACTCATAACAGCCAGAGAGATTTTAGTTTAATATCAGCTGGCGGTAGCCATAACAATGAAAAGTGAACTGTGATTGCTTTGCATGGATTACTCTAGGGGTTTCGAAATGCTACCTCTGCTGAAGAGAATATAGTAAAACATGCTCAGGATTATCTTTGTTTTGCCGGTTCGCTACATCTTTTTTTAAGCAAGGCTGACCATACAGCCAGGCTGCCAATACAGGTGTCCCCTTCACGCTTCATGTTAGAAATAGATTTTGGGTGGACAGTGCTTTAGGCTTCACTAGCTTTGTTAATCTAAACTCATTAAAGCAAGTCACAAAAGAGAACCATGAAATCTACAGTTAGATGGATTTTCAGAGATAGGTTTGAGATGCTTTTGAACTTAAATTTAACAATTTCCTTGGTGATTTAATTATTAAATCACCAAGGAAATTGTTAAATTTAAGTTCAAAAGCATCTCAAACATATCTCTGAAAATCCATCTAACTGTACATTTCATGGTAAATTCCTTTGTTTCACCTATGGTTCGCAAACATTCCAATAGTGTTGTAAATTAATTAAATCATCCATAAACCAAAATTGTAAAAAAAAAAAATATAATAAAATTTGTTTTATTCTATTACAACCCCTGCTGTGATTGTAGGGGCATACAGTAGCTATTCAAAGTATGTATTCAATTTTATACCCCTACAATCACAGCAGGGGTTGTAATAGAATAAAACAAATTTTATTAAGTATTTTTTTTTTTACAATTTTGGTTTATGGATGATTTAACCAATTTACAATACTCTTGGAATGTTTGCGAATCATAGGTAAAACAAAGGAATTTACCATGGAGTCTATTCAAAGTAAAGGGAAATCACTTCTTGAAACATATTTAAAACCAAAAGAAAACATGTTATATAATGCTACTTGCTAGTCTTTAGTTGTGGCGGCCGCATTTGCTTTTTTTTTTTTTTTCAGATTATTTTCCTTTATTTAATCCTGAAAATAACACACTTCCAGGTCTCTTCATGTCTACACTCATGGCTGTCACACAGGCTGGGTTATGTCTGCCTTTGTCCATCCCCATTTTGCAGTGGATTGATGATGAGACTAGTAGTAGTTTACATAAAAAAAACAAATAAAGATATTTGTGCTATCTTTTTTAAGCTCACAGAAAGTGACAAGGACACTGCACATATGGAAAGCTCAACATGTACTTTCTGTACTTGTTGAAAACGACAACCTTGACCTGAAAATTTAAAACTAATGCAGCTCCCACATCTAATGCCTGATAAGCTGCAATATATTAAATTTTTGTTTTCAGGTTTAGATATGCTTTAAAATAGCTGTCAACAAAATAGGTATTCCTAGGGAAGGATTTCCCCTATTTTCCTGATCCAGTGACAACTGTAAAACATTTGGCATTTTCATTGTTTTCTGTCCCAGTGACCATAGTCTCAAGGAGAAAGAGTGAGTGGGTGAAACTCAACAGTTGAAACAGATGGCACAGAGGTCTTAGCTGTTCCACACTCTAGCCAAACTGAAAAAAAACAAACATTAAAGTGGTTGTAAACCTCAGACATGAACAGGGAGAGACTGACCATTTGGAAACTTGGGCACTGCCTGAGGGCCCGGGGTCAGTAGGGGGCCCCATGAGATGCCCCTGGTACCTTTTTCATAGGCTTTTTTGAGTTTGGGCAAGGACACAGGGGCCCCATGATCCCCTATTGCCCGGGGGCCCCATTAATTGTCAGTCTGCCCCTGGACATGAAATATAAACAAAGCATATCCCTTTAAAGTGTGCCCACGTCTCAATCCAGAGCACTAAGTGTCATTTTCGTCTGCTGTCTAGTTCCTCTGCAATCTGCATGAGTCAATTCTGACAAGTTTTCCTGACACCAAGAGAAAAATGGTAATGGGAAGGGCAGAGCCTAAGCACTGTTCCTGTATGCAGTGGGAAGGGTTTGTGTACCTTCCCTCCAATCAGCTCTCAGAACTCTCCCCAATGAGTGTAACGTCAGCTCTCTGCCCCCCTGCTTTTCAGAGCTGAGAGATCCTTTGTAAATTCTGCAATTTGAATGGAAGTAGGGGACAGATGACTGTGAATAGGCAGCTACAACTTATGTAGGAGGATTTGTTTCATCTCTGTGTGTCACCTGAGGCCAGTCACTTCACTGGGTATATGTAAGGGTTTACTACCACTTTAAAGTATACTATTTAGAAGCCAGACTATTGTAGAACTTCCATATCAAATTGGCAGACCTGCTACAACATCACAATTTGCTGCCCTGACTTGGGCAAATATTATTATTATTTGTTTTCCAACAAACATAGTAAATTGCCCTTTTGAAAAACAAATTATTTCTAATTGAACACAGAGTTTTCAGCATGCTGAACACTCTTTGCAACCAATGAAACAGTGAACCAAGCAATACCAGCTGCAGAACAGTCCAAAATCTGAGCCACGGGTGGCAATGTCAGCTTTATGTGACTTGACAAAAGTAAATTTGAAGATCGACTTAGTCTGGTGGAAAAATTTTTGCTGAACCGTGAGTGTATTCTATGAGATGCAATCTATGTTCAGGTATTCAGGCAGTCACAGGTGAATACAATAGACATCAGTGGAGATTCCCCACACACAGCCCCTTCCTCATAGCCCATAAATGAGAGAAATCTAACAGTATATGACTAGCTTTACATACACTGCCGGATTTTCTCTCAAGATACAGACTTGCTAGATTTATTGCCACCAATTAATGTTGCTATGACTCTGCTAAACCAGCAGACAATGTAAAGGAACGGTATGATATGTACCTGTATGCTGTTCATCAAACGTTTCACTCTTTTTTTTCAGTTCCTCGTTTTCCTTATCTACTTCATCTTTTTCCTTCTGCAGCTTATTAAGGGTTTTCTGCTTTGTTCGCAACTCTTGGTTTAGGTTTTCAAGGTCTTCGGTGAGGTTATTCTCTCTAGCCTTGCTAGTTTTTTAGGGCCTCTTTAAGCTTTAGTTGTAGCTCATTTAAATCTTCAATCCGTGCCTGTAACGATAATATCATGTCTCTTCACAATTAAATTTGCCTACTTAAAATACCACAAAGGAATTAGGTTTCGGATTAAAACTCTGTAATCAGCTTTTAAGTTAAGAAAGGATAATGTAACAATTTTCATTTGCAACCAACCCAAGCACCAGGGGACATCATTTGCAAGGAGATGCTTAATGAGAGAATTTGCTTCGAATGAATTATTTAACTCTTGTATCCACACAACGAATATCAATAAAACAAGCCAGACTACACAGGTTACTCAAATGCTTTCCATGTTAGCTCACCTCACTCTACCTTATTGATTCAAAGATCAATACCATGTCAAGTGGCAAAATAATATATAAATACCAAGTGGGATCATTGCATCATTTCCAAAAATGCCAATAGGAAACTGGCTGTGTGTAAATAGTGCACAAGATAAAAGAAAATACTAATTTTACTATTAGACTGTAAATATAATCTACTAAATTCTCAGTAGTGTAAAATAAATTAAACTCCCACATGGACAGTGAGATCTCTTGGTAAACACCAATAAAAGTGGTGGGTATCTCAAAGGAAAAGCACCCAAAGATAAGACGTGATCTGAAGAGGTCTTCCCTGAACTATCAGTTTGTGAAGTGGTACTGTGTTTGGAAAACTAGCTGTAATGTGACCAAGCTTCAGGTACTGATTTCACCTGTAGTCCACCTGTAGTGATGCCTGCTAGCCTTTTCTAATACTGGTGTGCAATCAGTCATACAGAGTTGTACTCTAGTCATCTTATCGTTTCCAAATATTTGGACCTTAACAATTATAAAATTTACACTTGGATCTCACAGTTGTCCACAAGAGGCTTGCTGTAAAATAGGCCCCCTGTGATCCATTGAAATTAAACCAAGATTTCACTTGAACTAAACAAATGAATGTTGTGTCAAGATATGGTCACCACAGTAATTAGCTGAGTGCTACTCTGAGGTTGAATACAGCCCTCTGGTAATCACAAAGAAGCTTCAGTCCTATCACATCATACCTGCATTTCTATATCTCTGTAGGAAATGACCTACAGTCATGTGAAAAATTAAAGGATAAGTACAGCTATAGCAACAGGTTACATGTGACACACATATTTAGGGTATAACGTAAAAATGTTACTATACACCAGCCCTCTCAACCCATGAGTTGCCCCATGGCACAACTGGTGGGAGTTCTTCTTAGTTTCTTTAATATATAAATATTAATATGGTATGGGGTTAAAGGGGACCTGTCAGTAACCAAATGTTTGCATGTATAAATGCCTTAGAGACAATTACAAGGGACTAAAATGTGAGACAAGAACATGTGTGTACACAGCCTAGAACACTACTGCACAGGCACCAAGACTCATATAGTTGTGTCACCTTCTGAAAGCAGATGCTGAACCTGGATGATACCTAAATGAAGACGGCACTGGAAGGTAAACAATAATGCAAGTGTATAACACAAAATATCTAGTGATATGATCCTACCAGTATCTGATGGTGAAATAATATACAGTGACAATGTAAGAAAATAAATAAATCCTGTAAATTCGTGAGAACACAGCCCAACTCCACAATCCACCCTATCCACAATTGAGGGACCAAGCAATCTCAAATACAGTAGTGCAAAAGAGTAAAAGTGAATCCCCTACCAGGGGGATACAAAACCTATCAAAAAGTGATAAGTGCCAAACAAACACACTTAACCACATACAAATGTCCACATAAATAAAAGTGTAATAATGTTGCTCATAAACACAAAATAAATTCACAAAAATGTCCAAAATTGATGAAATGATATATAAACGTATACACGTGATCCATTAACGAAATCGTGTAAGTGTTGAAGTAAATGCATGATCACAGCAATAGTGAAAATCCTCAAGTGGCCAAAATGCCCCCTCACCTCCTTACATTGACCACAAGGGCCAGCTCGCTTTTAGGATCACACCACGATCCTTACAGATAATGATTCGTCACAGGAAAATATCCGCACTGGATTGATGAATGGTGGCACTTACTCCTCTCCTCTCAGGTCTCCTCCAGACACAGGTAGCAGCAATATCGCTCACTCTCCCTCCCATAAAGGATCATATCATGTTGCTGAGAGGTGAAGACGCCTATGTGTGTAACCCGGCTAATCCGCTCAGCTTCGGCACAAATGGGAAGACAGCATCACTTCAATGTTGAAAAGAGGTCTTGCGTAACAGGAAGCTGCTTTACTAGCCAATCATACTCCTCAATTCTCCCTCAGACGGGCAGGGCAGCCTTTCTGATCTACGCCCTCTTTAGTCCACGTTGTGTTCAGTTCTATTGGTCTGATGTTTGGAGAGGCAGCCTCTCCAAACATCAGACCTCACATCCAAACATCGGACCAATAGAACGGAAGACAACGTGGACTAAAGAGGGCGTAGATCAGAAAGGCTGCCCTGCCCGTCTGAGGGAGAATCGAGGAGTGTGATTGGCTAGTAAAGCAGCTTCCTGTTACGTAAGACCTCTTTTCAGCATTGAAGTGACGCTGCCTTCCCATTTGTGCCGAAGCTGAGCGGATTAGCCGGGTTACACATGTAGGCGTCTTCACCTCTCAGCAACATGATATGATCCTTTATGGGAGAGTGAGCGATATTGCTGTTACCTGTGTCTAGAGGAGACCTGAGAGGTGAGGAGTAAGTGCCACCATTGATGGCATCCAGTGAGGATATTTTCCTGTGACGAATCATCACCTGTAAGGATCGTGGTGTGATCCTAAAAGCGAGCTGGCCCTTGTGGTCACTGTAAGGAGGTGAGGGGGGGCATTTTGGCCACTTGAGGATTTTCACTATTGCTGTGATCATGCATTTACTTCAACACTTGCACGATTTCGTTAATGGATCACGTGTATACGTTTATATATCATTTCATCAATTTTGGACATTTTTGTGAATTTATTTTGTGTTTATGAGCAACATTATTACACTTTTTATTTATGTGGACATTTGTATGTGGTGAAGTGTGTTTGTTTGGCACTTATCACTTTTTGTATCCCCCTGGTAGGGGGATTCACTTTTACTTATTTGTACTACTGTATTTGAGATTGCTTGGTCCCTCAATTGTGGATAGGGGGGATTGTGGAGTCGGTTTGTGTTTTCACAAATTTACAGGATTTATTCCTTTCTCACATTGTCACTGTATATTATTTCACCATCAGATCCTGATAGGATCATATCACTAGATATTTTGTGTTATTTTACACTTGTATTATTGTTCATGTATTTATGTTATTAGCGCCACACTCCATATACAATTGTTGTTTATTTCATATACACCTATTAGGTATAGGTTTGGGTGTGAGCAGCTTAGGGTTAGGGATCATCCATTTAAGCGCAGGAGGATTTGCTAACACTGGAAGATAAAGACATTGACAGGGGGAGTAATGTGATCTTTTTTGAGTGCTAATGGCACCTGCAAGTGTTACAATGATTAAAATTATATTTTAAAATTATTTCTGTAACATTCCTTATATTGAGAAATGTTTCCAGTATCTGCACCCAAATGTCAACCTGATCAATGCACATATTCGTCGGCACACCAAGGATCTTCAATGTTGTCCCAAACATTTACTGCAGAAAGATCATATCACAAAAGTGTAAAGTTTTGGAGCCACGCAGGACCCCTTTCTCAGGCATGTGAATAAGTGCATTGATCTGTGATGATTCCAGTACCCAGCTGGTAGTCGCTGCAGCACCCACTATTGATGAGCTCTGTGTCCAGTAACATGTGTGATGAGAACCTGGTGGCTGAATAATAAAATACCAGATATGTATACACTGCTAAGCCACTGAATATCAATGAAAGGTTTAAAAGGGAACTTTGGGCAAAATAAAAAATTACATATATGATGTAGTCTGTCAATAGCATTACACAGCGGTCTTTGCTTTTCTGAGTGCCCCTTTAACATTTTTCATAAGTTTTAGTATCTGGTGATCTGACCAGTAAATCTGTCATATCAGACTTCCTTAAAATGTATTAAACTCACCAGCCTTTGCTGGTGCAAACATCTTCACTGGTTTTTATTCAGGTTCGGGATCTTTGTCCATACTAATTGGCAACGCTGGTATCACGTAATTACTGCGCAGTCACGGGAGTTAATTTATTCTGGAAACAATGTTTGTTGAGAATGTACACTAAGCCATCCAGCAAAAGTGGTAGATAGAGAGTTGAGACAAAACATTTAACACTAACAGGGGTGCTTACAATGGTCAGCTTTTCGTTATTTAATTAAAACTTTTATCCCAAAAGGAAAAAATCCTGACACAAAAGATGGGTACATTTTTCTTCTACGGACTCCAATGATGGGGTTCATTTTGCTACTGCTGACACCAACAACGGGGTCCCCTTTGCTCCCGCAGACACCGATGACGGGGTGCATTTTGCTTTGACTGACATCAACAATAGGGTGCATTTTTTCTCCCAGAGGCACCAGTGATAGGTCTTGTTTGTCCCCCACATCCACTAACTATAATTACTTATTTTTGTACCTGCTAAGCAGCAATGTAAGGAGCACAAAAGTTACCTACCCCTGACACCTGCCCTTCTGTACTTTACAACGTTTGACTCCTGCAGTGTACACGCTATATACTCATCGACCACTTTATTAGGTACACCTTGCTAGTGCCAAGAAAATATCCCCCACCACCACCAGCCTGAACCATTGATACAAGGCAGGATGGATCCATGCTTTCATGTTGTTTAAGACAAATTCTTACCAAACCATCTGAATGTCGAAGCAACCAGTCTGCCCATTCTCCTCTGACATCAACAACACATTTTCGTCCACCCAACTGTCCCTCACTGGATATTTCTTTTTCAGACCATTCTCTGTAAACCCTAGAGATGGTTGTGCTTGAAAATCCCAGCAGATCAGCAGTTTTTCAAATACTCAGACCTGGCCATCTGGCACCAACAACCATGCCACATTCAAAGTCACTTAAATCGCCTTTCTTCCCCATTCTGATGCTCGGTTTGAACTTCAGCAAGTCGCCTTCACCACGTTTACATGCCTAAATGCATTGCACATTTGTACCTAATAAAGTGACTGGTGAGTGTATACTTCTGGCCAAAGTATTTATTGTCTCAATATTTGCTGGCTACTATGTACTCCCTGACTATTTTACTGAGTTTTTTTCCTTTTTTTATGACATGGTCAGACAAAGCATTAGCTCTCTGGTGTGCAGAAAAGCTTAAGTTGTGTAATTTGTTTTAAATGATCATTTGTTCTGAAGTGTATGCCTCTTAATATTGGGTATTGAATCTCCCCAGCAAAAATCCCCCCAGTGGGTATAAAGAGAGCCAAAAAAAACCTGATGAAGGCTTCCACATTTTATCTATAACTACAAGAAAAAGTTTTGGCTGTACATAAACGTTTAATAAATCACAGCATTCTTAAGGAAATGTTACACTTTGTAAGTCTAACTAGAAACTTCATAGACTGTGGCCATATTATTAATGTCAGAACCTCAAAACAGATTATAAAATCAAGTTCCCTATGCAGTTTTTGAGCTGCCCAGAAATACAGCAGTAATATGTAATTCGTACTTGCACATTAGCATTAAATTCCACATGTAGCATTCTAGGCTATCCCTGGCCATCCATGCATGGTGTAGCTAGAAAATATGTAAAATAAAATGTCACTATGCTCACCTTTAAATCTTTGGTCTGTCTGTCAACAATCTGCTGAATGTTTAAATTTTCTTCCTTTTGTGCTGCAGCGGAAATAATCTGCTGTTCAGCATGAGCAGTCATTTCTGCCCGAAGAGCCAGCAGGGCTTTGCTTAAAGCCTGGAAAAAAGATAAAACACACACAGTAGCACAACTGTCCAATACATTGAATATATCCAAATGTTCTAAAGTTTAAAGGGAGATAGTTTAACAAACAAGGTAGTCAAATGTAAAAGAAATATATTATACCCCTAATTAATGGGATAGAAAACCAAAGAATTGCATATAATTTACTTAACTCCAAATAAAAAAAAAAAAAAAAAGACATGCCAGCTAATGTTGCAGTTTCTTCTCTTTGGCCTTTCTGAAAGCCTTCTTTATAATATTTTTTTTCACATCTTCTCTGGTGATCCTTTCTTGGAGTTTTTGCTCCCTCCCATAGAAGTCTATGCTAAAGCAACAATTTTAACCTAGGATGAGTGCTCCTGCTGCAGAGCTTGCTCCTTTCAGTTCCTCCACAGTGCCTTGGCCTGCCACTCCACAGATGTCATGTCATGGCTTGCAGACATACTGTACATCAACTATGACATGGCGCAGCCTAAAGCAGGCAGAGAGAGTGACTGGCCACAACTTAAAAAGCAAAAAAAAACCCAGATATATATAGACTGTAAAAAAGAGAATTTATCATTATTTTAGTTGCACATTCGACACAAAAATTTGGAAGGTTTAAACATACAGTTGTGTTCAAAATAATAGCAGTCAGACATCACTGACCTGATCAATCACTGTTTTTGGTAGAAATGATATTTCTACATGGCAAATAATTTACTAGCAGGTGTAGTAGAGTAATAGAAATCCAACAGACCCAACAGTCATGACATGCATGCTGTGGATTCTGTGTAATTGAATCACTAATTGAAAGGGACATGTTCAAAATAATAGCAGTGCGGAGTTCTATTAGTGAGGTCATTCGTTCTTTGAAAAACAGGTGGCAGTTATTGCCCTTATTTAAGGAAGGAAGGCAGCAAATGTTGTACATGCTGGTTACAGTGCATTTCTCTCTGAAATTCTGAGGAAAATGGGTCGTTCCAGACATTGTTCAGAAGAACAGCGTACCTTGATTGAAAAGTTGATTGGAGAGAGGAAAACAAATAAAGAAGTGGAGAAAATGATAGGCTGCTCAGCTAAAATGATCGCAAATGCTTTAAAATGGCAACCAAAACCTGAAAGACGTGGAAGAAAGCGAAAAACTACCATTCGAATGGATAGAAGAATAGCCAAAATGGCAAGGACTCATCCAACGATCAGCTAAAGGAAGATCAAAGAAGGTCTGAAGTTACCTGTGAGTACTGTTACAATTAGAAGACGCCTATGTGAAGCCAAGCTATCTGCAAAAAGCCCCCGCAAAGTCCCACTGTTGAAAAAAAGACGTGCTGAAGAGGTTACAATTTGCCAAAGAGCACATTGACTGGCCTAAAGAGAAATGGCGCAACATTTTGTGGACTGATGAAAGTAAGATTGTTCTTTTTGGGTCTAGTGGCCGGAGACAGTTTGTCAGACGACCCCCAAACACTGAATTCAAGCCACAGTACACTGTGAAGACAGTGAAGCATGGTTGCGCAAGCATCATGATATGGGGATGTTTCTCATACTACGGTGTTGGGCCTATTTATCGCATACCAGGGATCATGGATCAGTTTGAATACATCAGAATACTTGAAGAGGTCATGCTGCCTTATGCTGAAGAGGAAATGCCCTTGAAATGGGTGTTCCAACAAGACAACGACCCCAAACACACCAGTAAACGTGCAACATCTTGGTTCCAGACCAACAAGATTGACGTTATGGAGTGGCCAGCCCAATCTCCGGATCTTAATCCAATAGAAAACTTGTGGGGTGACATCAAAAATGCAGATTCTGAGGCAAAACCAAGAAATAGAGAACTGTGGAATGTAGTCCAATCATCCTGGGCTGGAATACCTGTTCACAGGTGCCAGAAGTTGGTTGACTCCATGCAACACAGATGTACAGCAGTTCTCAGAAACAGTGCTTATACAACTAAAAATTAAGTGATTCAAAGGAAAGCAAAATCTTCAAACATTTTTCAGTTTTATATAGTGAATGTTTGAGTTTGTAGAAAAAGAAGAATACAAACACTGCTATTTTTTTGAACAGTCTAATATTCACTTTTTTCTTCATTTTTTTTTAGAGGAACAACACAAATTTGATATATTTTTCTTCATGTTTTGATTTGGAATAGAATGTGTAGTGTTCCCAATGCATTTGTGTGTATAGAAATAAAAGCTATTAGAAGGATTTTGAGCTTTATTCACTTTTTTCAACACACTGCTATTATTTTGAACACAACTGTATTTGAAACATAATCATATGGTTTTACTTCCTCGGTGTAGATGCTCAGCTTGGTAACATGCAGATATGCTGTGAATCTGCTCCAATGGACAGAGGGAGGTGTGCACAGGCACTGGTGTCAATAGAGGGTTCCACTTCACTGCACACTTTGCATACTGGTGTACGAGAAGAGGCAGTGCTAATTTTTATAGTGCCACCACTGCTGTCCATAGAAATGGGTACCTAAATCAGTACCAAGATATTTAGAGCTTGATCTATAATAACTGAGCATTAATGTACAAGGTAAGGCAAACTTATTCGGTGTAAGAATGGCTAGAAAGAGAAAAAAAAATAATATATATCCCTTAAAAAATACCACCGGAAAGCTAAAATAGAAGAGAAAATATATTTTAGGAATACATAATATCAGGTGCAGTATTTCAAAAAAAGAAAAAGTAATAATATTGGAATGTGAGAAGTATATAAAGTAGGGGATAGTAGTCATGGTGTTATATACTCAAAACAATCACCATGGGACATTATAATGAAAACTGTATTTGTAAGCCCAGAGTAAAAAGAGCACAGAGGGGTGCATGCTGTGCTAACTTAACCACAAATAGACTGGATTTTATTGTATTCCAAATGCTGTATCGCTCTTCACCATTACAGCTTGTGTTGCAGGAGTGAAATGATATTATAAAAAAAACAAAAGAAATACCTTCTGCTGTTTTTCCTTGTGGGATACTTGGCTCTTCAAGCGTTCCACAAGATTCTTCATTGTTGCAGTTGGAGCTCTGGTGTTTGCCTCTTTTTGGGCTTCAAGTTCAGTATTCAAGTAATTAATTTCCTTTTCCATCTCAGACACTCGTGCTCCTAGAACCTCAGCTTCACTCTTATGTTTTTTGATCTCCATAATGTAATTCTCTTCAAGCCTAGTTTAAAAGAACATAATGAAAATCAAGGAGCAAATCTATATAAGCTAGCATGGCTTGTACAATAAAAGCTGTTCTGTAAGTTTTGCATTTGTATTGCATTCGCAAATAGGCATTGCATTTCAATTAAAGAGACACCATCACTTTGCCCATTAAAGTAGAACTATGGCCTCCCATTAAAAAAAAAAAAAAGAATGATATAGATATATATACATTTTAGAAAAAAAATGGAAACACTACATGTATATAAATATGTCTGTGTGTCCTGTAGCACTTACTTTAGTTACAAGCACATCTACATTGGGCTGAATAATACATGTGCATACAAAAAAATGCATGCTTTTAGGAATAGTGTACGAGTCCTTACAGTGGACTCTTGTAAAGAAATACAGAGGGGGTTTCTCTCCTCCCCTTTACTCACAACACAAGTCATCTTAAAAAGGAGGTTTTCTTTTTAGTTAAAAGAGTAGGGCTTTTTTTCCTCTTTATACTTACCTAGGGTGATGCAGCATTGGTCCAATGCTGCATCTGTCCCCCGGTGGCTCTAAGGGTGAGAACTCACATGACCACTGATAGCTGAGTTGTCTGAGCAGAGAGTGGGACTGTCAGTCACCGCTGTCTGCTCATCCCCCCCCAGCACCCACTGGAGCGCTGGGTTGTGGAGGGGGAGGGAGAGGCTGATTCGGGGCTCTCAGCGTTTTGTTGAGAGGCTGAACCAGGTGCCACTCCAGACTTTGGGATGGATGCTGACTTTGAAGTCGGGATCTTTCCCCAGCCTGAATCGGCTGAGTGACGTCAGCCAACAGTGGACTTCAGCCAGCTGTCAGCTGAAAATGGGTCACAGGAGTGCAGAATGAACTGCACTCTTGTGATCCACAGAAGTACAGCCAAATGAGCTTTGGCTGTACTTCTCCTTTAAGGTAGAACTATTCTTTAAAAAAAAAAAAAAAAAAAAACGTCTTATGTGTAGAAACGGGGTCCATAGGAGCCTCAGCAGAAATCCCTAAGGACCAAATGAATTGCTTTTTCACTCCTGGAAACAAGATTTTGTTACAGGTACCTGATGTATGTCCATACATAAAATGGAATGGTTTTCAAGAGAGAAAATGTTTGGCACAATTATATCAAAGGATTATCTATAAAAAGGTTTTTCACATGTGTCCCTTGTGTGTGAAAACTATATATTTTCTCTGATCCTCATATCATGAAAGCAAGAGGCCAGGGCTCTTGGAAAGCAAGCCTTTTCTAATTTACACTGCTTTGTAAAATATGTTCTCATTGGACTTGTTCACATGATCAATTCTGCAGGCCTAGCAGTTTAATTAGACGATGAAAAAAAATGCTTTGTAAAATATTTTCTCGTTGGGCTAGTTCACATGATCAATTCTGAAGTGCCTAGTAGTTTATTTAGAGAATGGAAAATGGTTTCTCAGAAATTAGCTTTACAGAATAGTATACCTCCCAGAAAGCAATAAACCACAATGCTATAAGGTTACCCTGGGAACTATAAAAATGTTCAATGAACATATCACCATCAAGAGAGTGCACTGAAATACTCATGAAAGACTACTTTATAACAATCCACTTTATTGCCTGCATCCTTATATTGGGCACGCTCATAGAATCTCAATAAAAAAACAACAAATACACACACTAAATAAGGAAAAAGTAAAAATTCAAGGTATTAATCAGAATTCAAAGTACACAGACACATACATTTTTTTCATGTGTGGTACATGTTATTAAGAATATATGGCTAAAGGTGAAGATATACTGAACGTTTTGTTGAAAATCTACGTACAGTGCATGTTCTTGATGGCTTAATCATCACAGTCTGTTTCACCCAATCACCCGGTTTGGTTCAATCCTACCTTTCCACACTTTATACTGTATGCTACTTAATGCCTGCCCGTCTCTGGGCACAGAAACATTTGAAGTACATTTAGCAGTTATATGGACATGGCTCTCTCAAATCCTTTTTACAGCTTCAACATGAGTTTGGCAACCCAAATTCTTGGCATTTTCGATCCCTCCAACAAAAACATGTGGCTGCAGCTCAACTAGGGATCAGAGATGTGCATTTTGATAATTCTGCACTTGAAAAAGCCCTGTTAAACCCTGTACACTCTAAGTTAATATCTTCCTTTTATAGTACCCTGTTACCAAACCCACCCAACTTCACAATTTATGATCTCACTGGCTGCAAGATATCCTGGATCTCTCAGATGAAAACTGGAATGAGATCCTGCACACTTAGTACTACTATCTCAGCCAGGGATAAACATATTCAACTACAGATATTCCACAGGATCTATTATACACCACTTTGACTTTTTCAGATGCGTAAGAGACAACCCTGATTGTCATAAATGTCATAAGCAGACAGGGGACCTTCTCCATATGCTTCTGTTCCCTAGTCACTCACTTTATTGCCTCAAATTGTGAGATACCCAATATATGTAATCTGAGGTGGTGTTCACTGGGAGTACCGGAAGATTTAGACATGGGCACATGTCTAATGAGACAAGATCAGAACAATTCTTACAATTTTTATTGTTCTATGCCAGGAAAATAGTCATGTTGCAGTGGATATACACGGAGGTTATCCACATTAATTTGTGGAAAAAAACTTGATCAGTCAGGTTTTGCCCCTTTATAAGCAGACTTATGAGGCCAGGGGATGTCCCCCACAAATTTAAGAAGATCTGGGGCCCATGGGTTGCACTTTTTGATACTTGTAAGGTACCAGACACCAAACGTGCTCTTAACTTGTAATGGTATATAGCACACCATACCTAATTACTTGATGTTTATTTGATTTGATGCTTGTACACAGAGGCATATGCTTTCTATTCTGAAGATACAGTAACTTTACATTCCCTTTTTTGGTATAACTATGAGACATGCTCTAGTGATTACTTATCCAATTTATCAGAACTTGTAATTTTGTTTAGATCAATTTTTCTTTATGTTTTAAAACTGTACTGCAGCGTACTATTCAATTGTTGGCTATGTGATACCGTTTGATACTCTACATCTTTGTTTACCACTTGGGTGAGGGATTTTGGTTGGAGGATTGTCCACTTGATGACTGTTTGGAAGTATACTACTAATAAGCTGTATCTTGGGCACAGCGGTGGTTCGAGATCAGGCTCAGGTAAGTATTTAAGGGGAACTGGGATGAGCTGCACATAAAAGGTTTTCTACCCTAATGTAAAAAAAATCCTTTAGCCTTTACAACCACTTTAATATTTGGATACGTGTAGTACTCCCTATTCCTCTTTCTCCCCCCACAGCCCTTGTCTGCATTTACCTGCAATTTCCAGTTGCCATTTTGCACAGCCAGTGATGGGAAATTACTAAGACTGAAGCATACAGAATGTGGAAAAGTTGTGTATGGCAACCAATCCGCTTCTAGCTTTCATTTTCAAAGCTTAACTGAACAAGGTGTAGAAGGTGATTGGTTGCCATGCTCAGCTGCTCCAGTTTTGATACATTCCACCCAATGAGTTTTGAAGCAATGTTATTATTATGTAAATTTACTGGTTCACCCATAGCACATCAGTGACCTTTGGCATGCACATAATGTCAGTTAAAACCTATAAATATCATTAATAAGTTAAAACAACCTTGCAAGTTAAAAAATGTAATAAACTGTATTTAACCTTTTATTAACCTTAATCAGCACTAATTACCTCTCTTTCGCCACTTAACTATTAGGCTGCATATTTGTTTTTATGTTTTTAATTGTTTTTTCAGCATTAACAAAACATTTTTTTCATCCATTTCTTACTTTACTTCAAGAGAGTGCACTGAAATACTCAAAAAAGACTACTTTATAACAATACACTTTTTTGCAAGCATCCTTATATTATACACTCTCATAGGATTGCAATCATTGAAAACAAATACATCCAAAAATAAGGCTAAAATATTGAAGCAATTCATGGAATTAACCTATATTTAAAGTACACAGGCACATATTTTCTTAAAGTGTTAGTAAACCCACAACAGTAAAATCAGTAAAGCATGCTTGTTATACTGACTGTGGAACCTAAGGGGTTAATCCTTTGCATTGTGTAAAAAGGATGTTTGATCCTAATTTCTCTGATCCTCCCTTTCTTCCAGTGTTCCCCTCTTATCTCTTGATAAGGCATGGAGACACTGTACATGCTCAGTTTGGTGTATATTGCTAGAGGTTTTTTTTTTTCTTGGGAGAGTGCATTTGATCAGCACAGGGCCAATCAGCACTGCCAGACAGCGGTCAGGGGTTCTGCATTCTCCTAGAGAAAACTCCTCCTACAAGCTTTACCTAGTGCTCAGCTGGACACTGATAGAAGTCACAAGACTGCTCTAACTGATGATGAGAAAAGGTATTTAGCAGCTTGTATTTACTAAAATAATTGCATTTCCCATTTGTGTACTGTTGGAGACCAGATATAGTGAATGCAGGGTCCTGGGTTTAGTAACACTTTAATGTGTGGTGTGTGCTATTCAGATTATTTAGGGTTTCTCTATAAACATTCTTTTTCTGTAATCTGGGACAAACGATAGTGGTTAGAGGAAAAAAAAAAAAATAACATTATGGGAAAAAATGTCACATTTACATCCACTTTGTTTATTGGATAATACTGCGTGCTTTTAACTCATCTTATATCTATCTAATTGTACCTGGCTTTATGGTTTTCCAGTTCACTCATTTTAGCCAGATGTATCTGCTTCTGGTGCTCCAGTTTCTACGGTGGCACTTTTCAGTTTGCTGGAGAGGGCAGACAGTGAGTTGTCTTGTTCAGCCACCGTCTGCTCCATGTCAGCTAAGCGCAGTAAGTGAGCTGTAGATGGGACTTCCAGAGTGGGTCTCTTCACAAGTTCCTATACAATCAATACACTACGGTTATATGAAGTCATTTTGCATTCTTGATAGATGAAACCTAAAGTGGTTGTAAACCCTTACATACACCCAGTAAAGTTACTATCCTCAGGTGATACACAGAGATGAAGCAAATCATCTCACATAAGTTGTACCTGTTTATCTTGAACCCTCTCGGCAAGGAGTCAAAGTTGCACTCTCCATAGCTCGGTAAGAGCTATTTGGAGGGAAGAACTTCCACTAGGACCACCTAAAGAGGAGTGGGTACCTGTCAAAACTCAGTACCCCCACTCCCTCCCCCGTCCCAAAAATAATTTGCCAAATATGGTAGACGATGTGGTGAAGTTGTGCTTTAAGTACTTGCAATTCAAATAAATAGGCTATTTACGTAAGTGGAGTATTAAAGCCTGATGATGCAACATTTGTTTGTTGTCTTAAAAGCATGACTCTTCAATAACTTACTGTAAGTTAACCAAACAATGTTTCTATACACTGATGATGGTCGACAAGCCTGTTGTATTCAGTTTAGCTGCATGCAACGTGGAATAAATAGCTCTATAATATTGGGGTTGTACTATCAACAGCAGTTAGCCATGGGGCATAAAGGAATGATTTGCATGGCTCCACTTACTTCCCTAAAATGGGCAATAATACTAATCTTTATCTAATCTTTATTTTGTAAGATATGATAGAATAGATAGAAAGAATGAGATATGTGAATACTTTTTGATCTAGGAAGGCTCTACTATGCTACATTAGTTACACAAAAAGTTGTCTTCTTTAGTTGTGTTTTGATTGTAAATGTAGAATATGTTGATCTACTATATACAAAAACAAGTACCTTAAAAACAGGTCTTCCTTATTCCTACGGAGTTGGCCAACTTTAAACTTTGGCCAACTCCGTAGGAATAAGGAAGACCTGTTTTTAAGGTACTTGTTTTTGTATATAGTAGATCAACATATTCTACATTTACAATCAAAACACAACTAAAGAAGACAACTTTTAAAGAATTAACACATGAAAAAATATACCTAAATATCATTTGATGATGATTTTTGCTGCAAGTCTTGGGTAAGTGAAAAACAACTGCAGATACAGATTTCCGTAGTACAGAAATCTGTATCAGCAGTTGTTTTTCGTTAGTAGTCATTTTTACATATTTTAATTGAAATAATAAAATATGCATGTTTTTATCTGATGTCATATATACGCCTTGTAATCACCCATTTAAGTATATTTTTTTTTATATATTGTAACTTAACCCCACAGGGATAAATAACCTTCTCAGATACTAACATTTTTTAATAGTACATTTACATAAGACATGTATTTGGTCAATATGCTTTCATGGAAAAGTGCTAACTATATATTTATACTATACTCCATTCTCAGTAGCACAAGTATGCAAAATCAAATGCCATCCCTATACAACAAATTATATACCAAATGAGGCTAAAAGTGGTTGCACAAGCCACTGAGTTGAACAAGATTGGGCACGTACAGGAAGGAATCACAATTAAGTAAATCATTTTAGCCTCTCTTATCTGCAACTGAAAAAACTCACGTAATTTTTGTAGGGAATGGAGGAGGAACCCCGGGAATTTTTACATTTTTTAAGAGATAGAACATAGATAAGAATATGCTTTACATTTCAGGCCAAAACCACCATATTGTATAAAGGGAAACTGTACAAGACTTATTTTTTTCTTTTTCTTCAAAAGAGAGGCAGTGGCCATTTCTTAGAGTAAAAATAAATTAGACTACTCTTAAATTCTCCTCTACAAGTTGTTCAAGGAAATAACCCTCTCTTGTTTAAATACACCAGTATTTGCAGTGTGAGATCTAAGGCACTGCTGCCTCTGACTTCTAGTCTCGGGAAATGTCAGTACTCTGTTGCCCATGGTTTTCCTTGCTGGAGGTTTTGATTTGACGAAGCAAACCCCTGCCTCTACCAAGATGGCTTTCTGCACAGAGTTACAAAACAGAAACAAGACATGGTAAGTCAATAATGGGAAAAGTGCCAGAGGAACCACAGGAAATGCTAGCAACTAGTCCTATGCCATCTACCATAATTTTTTGGGCTGAGCTTCTAGAGCTCAATTCCATTTTAACAGACAGCCCATGGCAGGGTGTATGATTGTACTTTGATTCCAAAATGGAATGAGTCTAATGGAAACAGCCATCCTGCAGATTTAGTGTAGAATGTGGTAACAGATCCATAGTGTACCCAACTTAGCTTTTTTTTTTTTTCTTTTATCAGAACACTCTGGTCCAAAGCTGCAAAGACAAACAAACATACAAATGGAGAAACAGAAAAAGGGCGCACCGACCATCATCCAGGGTTCCATCGTATGGACTCAGATGTTGTTTGGATCATACATCTTGTTCAGTTTGACATGCCTGTGTTATTATGTCCATTGTGAGTATGATACCTATTTTTGTCTCTTTAATAAATTATTTTAAACGATAACGCACTAGGTCGGTGCGCCCTTTTTCTGTTTCTCCATTTGTATCCAGTGTATTCGGACCACCCCGTTCTGTTGAGGGCAGCAAGCAGTGCATATTCCAGAAAATTCCAGAACATTCCTATTGGGTCTACTGAGTCCTTTCCTAGTGCAGGAGTAAAGTGTTTGTTGTGTTGGAAAAGACAAACATTAGACTGAATATTAAAGGATAAGTTTACCTTTTAGACAAAAATAATAAATACACATTTTTTGCAGGTAAATATTTTTGTCTACAGGAGCCTGGAAAGCATTGCATCAGCTATCAGTACATCGCTGATGCCATGCAGGTCTCCTGCAGACCTGTAAGAATATCTGCTTGCAGTACAGGATGTAAGAGCAAGCAGATATTCTGACAGGAAGCGTCAAAGAATTACCAAGGCACTCCACAGCACTGTGGAAGTTCATTGAAAACTACAAGCCGACAGCCGCTAAGGTTGTCGAGACTTGCAGTTCATTCATTCACAGAAGTCCGTTAATGAAAAAGGCGGTCGTGTGGGCGGAAGCCCTGCACAGCTGAGCTGTTTTCAAATTTGAGAGATAGTACAGGGAGAAGTCTCCCTATACTATCTCTCAGAGGGAGGGAGCGGCGGCGGCGGCTGTAGCTATGGGAACATGTTACATGTTTCACTCTAAAAACGGGTGGAATATGTAACATGTTCCCAAAGGTGAACTTATCCTTTAAGGCCAATTGAGGAAAGAGGATAAATAATTAGTGTTGCGCTACTCTGTGCAAAATGAATAAATTAATATTATCACTATATACATCTCATGAATAAAAATTATAAACATAATTCATTAACAATATACAATAATTAAAGTCCAACATAATCAATAGTGAAATAGTATCTGTGCTTCTTAGCCAATAAGTGATTCCACTTAAGTGCTCCACCACACAAAGAAAAATTTGTGTCACCTCCACCTGAAATAGGATGGCTGCTCACCTGAAGCATCTGACCTATATACATAAATACATAGGTCTAGCAAGCACGATCATTCCAAGAATGGACTCCAGATTGCAGCAAAAGCTTGTGATGCATAATGTTAATGGCGGTTGTTGAGCCAAATAAAGATACCCATAAGATCTTCTCCACTCAGCATCAGCATATATAGGAAATAAAGAACAGCCGCTGATCGTATAATTCCGTTTATTTATTATATAGTAGTAAAAACAGCCAAGTATGCACTTAAAAAGATGTAGTGTACAACTGCGTAATAGCAATACTACCGAACTTCCGGTCCACGGCTTCGTAACCGGAAGTGACGTAGCTAAGCTCCGCCCCATGCATTACGCCACCAACCCACGTGGCTTCATCAGGGATCCATGATGCGTAACGTGGGGTGGGGTTTAGTGGTGTCACTTCCAGTTATGGAGCCGTGGACTGCAAGTTCATGTTTTTGCTATTACGTAGTTGTGCACGTCAGGAAACTAATGCAGCTAATGCTAATTCTTCAACAGTTAATGCTAATTCTCGTGCAGCTATTGCTCATTCCATGCAGCTAATGCTCGTGCACATGTGCGAGCACACAGACAAGCCCAGGCTAATATCCAGTGTGCACTGACATGTAGGCACATTTCTATGCGCCATCATGCATTGGTGCTAAGCTGCCTATTTAAAGGAGACTCTACAGTGTACTAATCGCTGGATGTTCTTCAGCTTCCTGTGATCCGTGTTCCTGTTTGTACTGACTGAGCTTCCATTGTTGACTCAGCTTATTCCTGACCTTGCTCTGTGGATTTTGGATTCTGACCTCAGCTTGCCTTAGAATACTCTCTATCTGATCTCCTGGTACTGACCTCGGCTTCCTATTGGACCTCGCTCTGCCCGCTAACCTAGTACCGATCCCAGCCTGCCCCCTGACCACACTGCAGTGTCCTGGTGTATGACCCTAGCTTACCTTGACTATATCCTTGACCATGGCAGTTACCGGCTTTCAAGCTCTCGGCACCCGTGCTTCCTTAAGCCTTGTATCTCTGTCACCACGTTCAGGGGTGCTCGGACCACAGCCACAAGGAAGCCCTCTCGTCAACTCGGCCTTCAACCAAGGTACGTGACAACACTCATCTTTGTAAGTGCATACTTGGCTGTTTTTACTACGGTATATTGAATAAACTGCATTATAGGATCAGAGGCTGTTCTCTGTTTCCTATGTATGCCAATGCTGAGTGGAGAAGAGGATCTTATGGGTATTATTTGACTTAACAACCTTCATTAACATTATACATCACATTATGCCATCTGGAGTCCATTCTTGGAATGACCATGCTTGCTAGACCTATGTATTTATGTATATAGGTTTGATGCTTCAGGTGAGCGGCCAACCTATTTCAGGTGGAGGTGACACAAATTTTTCTTTGTGTGGTGGAGCACTTAAGTGGAATCACTAATGCAAATGTTAGTCATTGGCTAAAAAGCACAGAGACTATTTCACTATTGATCATGTTGAACTTTATTAATTATTGTATACTGTTAATGAATTATGTTTAGAATTTTTATTCATGAGATGTATATAGTGATATATTAATTTATTCATTTTGCACAGAGTAGCGCAACACTAATTGTTTATCATTTTGTTGGTTTGTTGAGGGAGCACTAGAAGTGATTTGCAGCAACTCGTAATATTTAGTACTTATTAATTATTTATATATTTTTTATTGATATATATTCATTGGTAGCGCACATTGAGTTTATATTTATTCAACTGTGGAAAGTTTCCTAAATTTTACCATGGCAGTTATGGGCTAGGTTTGCATTCTTTTTTTGATTGTAAGCTCTAATGAGCAGGGCCCTCTGATTCCTCCTGTATTCAATTGTAATGTAACTGTTTGCCCTAACATTGTAAAGCGCTGTGCAAACTGTTCGCACTATATAAATCCTGTATAATAAAAAATTAATTCACTGTCATAGGTTTTGTCGCTTGTGGACTGCTGCTGATAAATGTGGATAACTTAATATGCATACTGTATTCATTTATATGGCTAGACCTGCTACAGAATCATTACCATTCTATTTTCAGGATGAGGCGTAGGGAGGCATGTTGCTTTCCAATACTTACAACCCTCAGTATTTGTTACCGGAAAACTATTGCTGGCCACTTTCTCAGCATTTGGTAGGAAAAACAGATCTGCATGCTACAGCAACTGGACTAATAGGTAGCCTGCCACTGGGCCTATGCATTGCCTTGCCATCATTCTGCGGTACCAGAAAACTACTCCTGCCTCTTTTTGGATCAGGTGGCAGAAACATGAATACAGAATCCCAATTTAAAACAACTGGATTCATGGACAATCTTCACTAGCTAGTCCGTTGAGGCACAGCATCAAAAGGAGCTTGATCTAGTATGGTAAGAGCTGCCAGGGTTCTACTGAGATGAATGCTAAGAGCTGCCAGGGTTCTAATTAAATGCATGGTAAAGCATAATGTGATCTATTTAAACGTAATTAGTAGAAAAATCAAGTTGTAAACACAAACCAGAGCAGCCTCCTTAAATTTGCTAAGTGAGGCATCTGAATGTACATCCAACTTCTGATGTAGCGCTTTAAGATCCTCTGCATGCTTTTTCACTTTCTCTTGTTGTTCCTGTTGGAAGTAAAATATTATCATTATAGTTTGTATGCATTCTAACTAAATAAATGGCTACACTGTCTACAAAATAAATAGTCTCCGTAAGCAGCAAACAATTACATGTGGTAAAACGTTAAGTATTAGGTCTCTGGGTATGGATGCTTCTTCACATGGATTAATAACCTAAGCAGCGGGCGATGATCAGTGATTTTAATTTTTGTAACGCAGGAAAAGATGCACAGCAATTTACACTTAAGTTGTTTATGTGTTCTGTCTCCATGGTTACTCATAATTAACAGTCGAGGATTTTTTTTTTGTCTTTACACCAGATCTCGACATATTGGCTTCTCATAAGACAGCGGGTAGTTTTGAGTACGTCAGATGAGGATCAAATTACCACTTCAGACTTTATTCACTGTATAGAAACAGCTGAGATGAAAATGCTCCTACAGAGGTCTAAATAATTGGTTAGTGTTTGTAATTTTACAGTTTAGTTCCAGTAATGAGCAGCTGTAGCATTCACTTCATTGTTGCCTCTAAATGGCACTTATAAATATAGTGGTGGAAAAACATCAGACTATCCAGGCATATAAGCACACAGACACAGTCAGTACACTATATTAAATTGCAACGTGGGCAGCAAAGCTCCATCTATATTCATTAAGTCAGCTTTAACTGAGTATCCCCAAAGTCCATGGAACTTTGTCTTCCCTTGGTTGCACTCCACCGCTCTCAGTAATATGCCTTCTGGGAGCATTGCTTCAAAAAGGTTTACAATGATATGGAGAAGACAGCGTGTGTTCTATACTGAAGAGACATATTTCCCTTACACCAATACAGCACTGTGCAACAGAGATGCCATGTTATTTACACCCAGCATATAAATACATTTACTATTATATAATGTTCAAATAAATGGCTTTTGGAAAAGCAAAATTATATTAACAAAAAAGTGTATAGACAGCAGCTGTGATTTTCACAGTATAGTGGGCCAACTTGGTATCCTTCACTTGCTGGATGTCTTCCAAAGTTCTCTGGCACTCTGCTTTATTTTAATATAAATGAGCTTCAGAAAGGGTGCTCTAGAGACAGAACAATAAAACCACACTCAAATCCCATGTTTACTTCAGCATCGCATTTTAAACAAAATGAAGGGCAACCTGTTAACTTTAATGAATTTGTGATCTCCGCCAATATTCACAAAACCCCATTTAACCAGTTACTAGAAACTAGAGGTACCGGTGAGACTTATACTGCTGCTTCATGCAAGTCACAGAAAATGCTGAATTTGTAGGTGACAGACAGTGGAGACCAGAGCCAGAACTTAAGTGTAGTTTTCCAATTTTCATCAGTGTCAAAAAGAAGAACAGGTCCCATGGCCTCTTATGCATGGAAAATGCAGGTTGATGTACTCTAAGCGCACATTAACGTTAGGGGGGAAAAAAGGATATGGCTATTTACTCCTGTTAATGCTTGTGGTATCCATAGATGTGTGAAAAAGGATTGTAACTGTGTACTGACATGGAAAAATCAGATCAATCCATGATAATTGGACAAGTCAAGCCCTGTATATAGCTTAGGCTTAGAATAGAACAGGCTAAAAAGAAACTGATATTTGCAGTCACCAAGAAGTGTTCAGTTCACCACTTTAAAGTGGTATTTAAGGCAATTTAAAAAAAACAAAAAAAAAAACAAAAACAAACATGTCATACTTACCTGCTCTCTGAAATGGTTTTGCACAAAGCAGACCCGATCCTCCTCTTCTTGGGTCCTCTGCCGGCGCTGCTGGTATCCTGCTATGGGCGCACTCAAGCAGGCTTGCTCCCGGCTTCCTTCCTCTCTTCATTAGCTCACTGGCTGCAATTGACAGCAGTGGAAGACATTGGCTCAGCCAATGAAGAAGGAGAATCCCCAAAGAACCGAGGCTCTCTTGCACATCGCTGGATCGCAATGGGGCTCAGGTAAGTATTAGGGGGAGCTGAGGGAGCTTCTGCACACAGAAGGTTTTTTATCTTTATGCATAGAATGCATGAAGGTAAAAAACCTTGAGCCTTTATAACCACTTTAAGGTTAGGTTCTAGGGATAAGCTGAAGTTTTTGTGTCGGATCCAGGTTTAGGCTCAGGTTAAAGGGGATGTTTTTGTGATAAGACTGAGGTTTAGGTCAGCAACCTATGTAGCATTAATCAAAAAGAAGAACAGGTCCCATGGCCTCCTATGCATTTTAAATGCAGTTGATGTACTCTGAGCACACATTAACTTTAGGGGGAAAAAAGGATATAGCTATTTACTCCTGTTAATGCTTGTGGTATCCATAGATGTGTGAAAAAGCATTGTGACTGTGTACTGACATGCAAAAATTAGATCAATCCATGATAATTGGACAAATCAAGCCCTGTATATAGCTTAGGCTTAGAATAGAACAGGCTACAAAGAAACTAATGTAAAAACTAACTGATATTTTCAGTCACCAAGATGTGTGCAGTTTATCGCTTTAACATTGTATTAAAGGCAATTTAAAAAAAACAAAAAAAAACATGTCATACTTACCTGCTCTCTGCAATGTTTTGCACAAAGCAGCCCCGATCCTCCTCTTCTTGAGTCCCCCGTCGGCGCTCCTGGTATTCTGTTATGGGACTGCTGCTCTGTGTGTCCATGCACACGCAGAGCCATGGATCAGCCCTGCCCCCTTCTTCTCATTGGTTCACTGGCTGTGAATGACAGCAGTGGAAGACATTGGCTCAGCCAATGAAGAGGGAGAATCCTCAGAGAACCGAGGCTCTCTTGCACATCGCTGGATCACAATGGGGTTCAGGTAAGTATTAGGGGGAGCTGAGGGGGCTGCTGCACACAGAAGGTTTTTTATCTTGCAAAGAATACATGAAGGTAAAAAAACTTGAGCCTTTAGAGCCACTTTAAGGTTAGGTTCTAGGGTTAAGCTGAAGTTTTTGTTTACGCTCTTCAGTTTTAGGCTCAGGTTAAAAGGGAAGTTTTGTGATAAGATTGAGGTTTAGGTCAGTAACCGATTTAGCATTAATACAGGTTTTCTGAATGGTCAAAGATCAGTATGGTAAAAGCATTTGTACCTGCTAAACATAGGTGACATCCAATCACTATACTTTTTTGTGATGAAAAATATTTTAACCAGTACTTTTATGATTTATTAATTAAACAAAACAAAAAAAAGAACAAAATTCCAATCTTCACATGCCAGAAAGCAATGATTTGCAGTCACCCCTAAGGCCCCTTTCACATGACAGTTTTGAATAGGTCGGCCTGTAAGTTTTTCAGGCGGACCTGATCAGACAGTCCATTCATCTCAATGGACAGGTGGGTGTAAACGGACTTGTGTTTGTTTACACCTGCCTGCCTCCAATCCAATCTGCTAAAAACTGGAAAGGGATGCGTTCTCCTCCATGTTGGCAGATTGGATAGGAGGGTACTTGGGTGTAAACTGATAGCCAGTCCAACTACAGCCAGACACTTATAGAGCAGGTTCTGTCCATTTCTGCTATGCATAAACTGAGCAGACACAGACCTGTCATCAGACCATTCTGCCCTGATCAGGAGATCAGCAGACAGATTCCCTGCTGAGCAAATCAGATTCCTCCCTTGTGAAAGGGGCACAAGTGTCACCGAATTACTGATAAACTATATTAGACCCTGTGTATGAAATTCTGTCTGAGCTCTTCAGGTTCACATACCTCTCGTGCTTTTGATAAAAGATGTTGATATTTCTTAACAACTTCTTCTTTTTGATTAAGTCGAGCTTGCATATTTTCAATTGTTTGATGAGAAACTTTTAAGGCCTGGCGCATCTCGGATTCCTCTTCTTTTTGGTTAAACTCGGATAGCAGCTTCTCTCTGTCTATGACTGCAGGTATTCGCAATCTCAGTTCATTTATCACTTTGTCACGACTCAAAACATTTTGTTCGGCAGTCCAGAGGACAGCTTCTTTTTCTTTAAGTTTCTGAAAAAATACAGATGTTAATTGTCAATGGCCAAAGAGTTGACTTCTTATTGGGAAGATGGATTCAACTGGCTGGATAGACAGACCATAAAAAACAAGTCCAGTGCATGATTTTGTGTACTGGAGACACTCTTAACCTAGAACTATAGGAAAGTTGCATTATTCAATAACCACTTGCCCTCCTGAAGATTTACCCCTCTTCCTGACCAGGCCATTGTTTGCATTACGACACTGTGTTACTTTAACTGACAACTGCGCGATCATGCAACGCTGCACCCAAATAAAATTTACGTCCTTTTTTTCCCACGAATTGAGCTTTCTTTTGGTGGAATTTGATTGCCTGTGCATTTTTATTTATTGCACTATAGAAAAAAAAAAAGACAATTTTGAGAAAAAAAAACAATATTTTGGACTTTTTGCCATTAAACATTTCCAGTAAAAAAAATTTAAAAAATCTAATTTGCTAAAAAACAAATCCCAAAACCTGTAAATTAATTGGTTTACGTGAAAGTTCTAGCGTTTACAAACGGTGGTATATATACTGGAATCTTTTATTTTATTTTTTATTTCTACTAGTAATGGCGGCGATCAGCGACTTATAGCGGGACTACAGAGGGCATTCTGACACTGGGCAGGAACTGACTTGGAGTCACGGACATCCCCAGTGACACCAATACAGTGATCAGTGCTAAAAAAAACCCAAAACATTGACACTGTATGTACTAATGGTACTGGGCAGGAAAGGGTTAACATGATGGGAGATCAAAGTGTTAACTGTGTGCTGGGTGTGTTTTACTATGGGGCCATGTGTTTGTGCTTCACTGTATGCACACTGCTTTGTATGGCTGTGCATGAGCTGACAGGAAGGAAAATGGTTTTGTTTACAAACAATTCTCCTCCCCGTGTCGGAGATCCTTGTCAATCACCAGGCGCCGACGAGTAATCACCTGCCAGGACCTGGTGATTGACGTATATATACACATGTGATTTTGCGCACCTGTGCTGCCCTATGGCAGTATTTCTGCTATAGGGCAGACGGAAAGTGGTTAATAATTATGCAAAATCATAAACAACTCAGCTTTTTGTGCTTTGATGCATGCAAAAAGGAAATGGCACTCTATAAAGTTTCAAGCTTACAGTAGTAAAAGTCATGCCAAAATATGTTCCGCTTGGGCAACCAAGACCCTAACTAGACATTACATAAAAGGAATTGACTCATCAGTGAACATGCTGTACGTACAGAAAAAAAAAAGAAACTTTAGCAAAAGCTTGCAAATTAACACAAGATGGTCTTTTAAATTAAAGTAGAACTATAGGCATTTTTTTTCTTCATTACGGATAGATTAAGGGAGGGTTAAAACCCCTGCCTGTTTTTTTGTGCCTTTGCGTCATGTCCCCTAGTCAAAACAAGAAGTGAGAGGAATTCCCTGCAAATTAAAAGGTTCCCTTGGAGACCCCCAGACTAGTGTCCCCATTGGAGAATTTTTCTTCTATTACTTTTCTGGGGACAACCCAAAATTTGATCTTTTCTTTTACTTTAAATGTTAAACAGGACAAATAGAGAGGGTGAATCTCCCTAAAGGGAGCACTGAAGCAAATGGTAACCTAACAGGTGTTCTAATCCAACTGTACTCTATCCAAAACTGAGAAAAAATGTTTTGCCTGTCATTATAGTTTAGCTTGTATATCTTGTAACAAACACTTCCCTCCTGTGGTCAGAAGTGGCGCTGCACATATTTAATACTAGCCAGATTTACAGAAGAGGCAGCCTAGTAAACTTTGACATGAAGATTGATAAAATCTACGTGAACAATTGACAAAGTGTAGAAATAAACAACTATAGTAACCTACTATTCAATAAAAGCATTTTTCTAACAGCACAGGTGCCCAAATCTGCTTTGATAAATACTATCCTATTGAATAAAATACCACACATCTGCAGGCTTGTTAAACAAAAGTGACTTACTGTAACCAATATGAGTTAAAGATCATCTTCAGCCTACATGGTTTTTTTAAATTTAGTTTTGGATAGCGTAGTAAGGCATCTTGCGCATGATACTGATGTTTGAGCATCTGCTTTTTTGGATGTAATTTCAAGTGTTTGTTTTGTGCGTATTCGCACGTATTTGCGTACATAATATATTCTTGCATTTATATTTCTATGCGTTAATATTTAGAATCATATGCGTGTATTTGTGCGCATTTGCACACGCATGGTGTAACTTACTGACCAAAAATGCAGATTTTTTTTCTTTTTTTTTTTTTTTTTTACTGAGAAATACACGGTGCTTGTTTACATGCCTGTGTGCAAAGGCACATTGTAAATACATGGGCTACATTTAACCTCAGTAAAAAAAACACTGTACTGAGCTTTTTCAAGCTGCAGTGTGCAAGAGGCCTAAAGGGTTAGAAACATTCTTGGACTTTTAATTGCAGTGTGTGTCCACATTGGAGAGATCTACCTTCACTTCCTGTCCTGGTGATGGGAAATTACTTCAATAGAAACAACAGAGAAAACACTATTTTGAGTAGAAGGAGAAAAGGTTAAACCCACTGAGGCTTGTACTGCTGTCTGTGCCTACCTGTGTATTTTGGTGACCCCTTGTCACCTAGCTAACATAATACTGGTGGTCTTTAGGTTTAAGTGAACATAACATATGACAAAAAATGTTTAATTCATTTTAATACAGCATATAAATACAAATTGCAATCACATTTGTCTTTATTGCCATAGCTGAAGGATTAAATGATACAGATCAGACCTGAAAGCGACAAAAAGATGCCTAGGACCTTGTCATTACTTCAAGTAGCAAGCATGATCCTTACTAGCTTCTGGTTCCTGCACCAAGCAGCTGCACTGCATACATAGGAGGCCACTTGCTCAGCACGAGCCCCATTCAGGGAACACTATCCATTTTCTCAATGAATGCAAAGCGCTCTTTGATTGGACAAGTTTGAGAGGTAGAGGTGGTGATGTTACAATTTCCACCATGTCCAATCAGAGATCACTTTGCAGTCATTGAGAAAATAGAAAGTGTTATTTAAAAAGCACCTACACCAGGAGGGCAACCTTCTGTTTTTAGTAAACAGACTGCAGCAGCTTGGCATGCAACCCAGAACTAGCGGCGTCACTGTAGTAGTAGTACCTACTACAGCGATTTCCAGCTTCCAGTGGGATCCTACATCTATGGCACATACACATTGGTCTTAGCTTGATCAATAAAGTTATGTAAAAATTGCCATACCTGGACCCTGAAGCTATTCCAGGTGTACCCTCAACTCCTCGCCCATCCACAATTTGGGCTACTCTATCTCTATGTTTGAACTGCTTCAGGAACTAAGAGAATTGGCTGCTTGAATTCATTACAGACATGAAGTCTGACTGCTTTGCTGTGTAATGGTCTCTTTCAATTGGGTCCTTCCTTCAAATCCCTGAATACTGTCCTGCATTAGGATTTCTTGCTATAGAGGTTCTGAGCAGTGGTAACTGTATGCACAATCTCTCACAAGCCTTTTTCTACAGTGACTAAGTCTTACTGCACCCACATTTGTACCCTACTACTCTTAGACTCGCGGTGTGTGGTGTTTTGGCTGGAGATTTTTTTTGTTGTTTTATTGATAAAACTCCATATACCTCTCTTTCCTTATTTTTCTATACTTAATGGACTTGGTCCACACAAAAGTAGTAGTTTGGTCTGAGGAGCAGGTGCCTCCTTACTCCTTTGTTGTTTGTTTTTTTTGTTCTTTATTTACTTTGTTTACAGTCTCATAGTACATACAACAGCAATTCAGCAGTATATTTTCTTTTTATACTTGACTTCCTGGTTACTTGCGTGTAAGCTCTATTTATGAATGCATTATTCAGTACTATTGAACAATGTAATAGCACCTCTACATGCTCTGTGCTTGTTCCAATTTGGTTTCCACAGTTCCCAGTAGTCCTTATATTTGGAGGGCATACTCTTATTCCCGTGTTCATTATTTCAGATTTTTTTTCATATCTAGCCATGGAGACCTGGATTTTAGCTCATAACCCAAGGTACCTCATAGCTCAAGGTATCTCATAAGGTTTCATCTCCTCCCATAAGAGAAAAAAGACATTTTGGTTTTTTACAAACGGTTGAACACTGAGCTCATAATTCTTCATAACCGTACAAATTATTTTGATAAATCTTACAGACATTATGTTACCACTTTTGGATCCAAAACTCGTGGAGCTGCCATTTTTTATAAGAAAATTATTTGATGTTAAACATGTCTATAAAGACTCAGTACGTTAATCATTATTTAAGGGTCTTTACAAGGCCAGGCGTTACCGATAGCCAATGTATACAGTATATCACTAATGAGTCCCAGGCCTCTTATTAAAAAAAAAAACCCTTTTTTTAGGTTTTAGATAGATATTATTGAACACACCGGGTAGTTGGCGGTGACATTAACTTTTAACGTTTCTTAACCCAAGTTGGACAGAAGCAGAGCAATAGGTGCAGCTAAGGCTTTCCTGAAAAGTTTAATAAACCTACTTAAATCACATCAACTTGTTGATGCTTGGAGCTTTTCACCCCCATAATAGTTATTCACACTTGGACTATATTTTCAGCTCACTTGTGCTATTAGTCAACACATCCTCAGCTTCCATAAATATTTGCCCTTGGTCTGATGATTAAATAGTAACATTTACTACTTCACATATAGGCCTTGTGACCACTCCCTTCTCTTGGAGACTGAATGTCAACAAATCCTTCTTTTTGCACATAGATCTAAGACCATTTAGAGGAATATTTTCATATCAATGATGTCAAGGATATTTTTCCTACTTGTTTATGGTCAGCCCATAAGGCAGTCATGAGGGACCACTTGATAGGAATTACCGCTACATAAAATAAGAGAAAGCTACAACAGCTACAAGAAATAGACTCTCACTGAGATCTGCTAGCTTACTACAAGATTGATGGCAGGTGACCCCAGTAGAGGAGGTTCAGGGCCACTCTGTGCAATAAGGTTGCACAGAGCAGGTGAGTATAACGTGTTTATTATTTTGACCTAAACTAAATTGACATGTGCTGCTCCAGAGGTCATGGCTTGGTTGGAGCCCAGGCTGAGGCTGTCATAACCTTCTTAAGAGGTTTTGCAGAGATGTGCAGCTTCCAGGACTATTCCATTAGATGTTCCTTTATTTAAAAAAAAAAAAAAACACCTATTAATGCTTTAATGTTTTTGATGGACCCGTTTATTTCACTTCCTAATCTGGTTTCAATGTTGAAGACCTTTTGGAACATTTAAGGTTTAGATCTATCTTTTGAAATGTACAGCTATGTCTATCAACCTTCCACAATCCATTGGTATCCATAATAGGTTTGGGTTTTCTTGGTGTGAGAAAGCTCCCATATCTGGGTATTCAATTATCCCATCTCTTCATTCACTGTACTACTCCAATTACCCACAGGTGTTTGCTCTCATCAAGCAGTTATTGAAATTATGGTCTTCTTATCATATTTCCTTTCTGGGCAGGGTTATGGCAGCCAAAACATCTATTCTACCTAAACATTTTTTTTTGTTTAGAGCTTTGCTGTTATAGTTTCTAAACTCAACATCTATTAAATCTGCAGTGAAAGGTTTTGTATGGCAGGGTAAGAGACCTCGTTTTGGGAAACTATTTGTATACAGACCTCAGACCAAAGGAGGCTTGGGCCTACTCAACCTGTGGCATTACGATCTTGCAGCTAGATTTGCACAACTGGCACAATGGCATGCACCTTCTGCTCATTTACCATGCCTCAGATTTGAAAACCACTTCTATAGTCTCGCATTAATATCTGGATTACTTCTGTCGAAATCTACCCACCCAAGAAATCATAGCCTCTTTGAATGCAGCAGTGGGCTAATCACTTCAGCTCTAGTTTCTGTACCAGAATAAATACAAACTATTTTCTTTGGCTATACCTTTGGTTTCATTTTTGGGTGAACCTCTATTTCCTGCAGTATAACTCTCCAGGTCAAACCAAATCATAAACAGGTTTCCCTTGAATCTCTGCTTAAGAAATTTAATTTTTGCTCTTTTTCCCAACTTCAGCCACAACATAAGCTCTTCACAATCAGAATTTGTAAAATATCTGCAGATTAGGCATTATTATAACTCCCATTATGCTCTGACCCTTACAATACATTATTCTCCTAGATTGTAAGCGCCAAGGAGCAGGGCCCTCCTATCCCTCTTGTATTGAACTGTATTGTTACTGTATTGCCTCCCATTATATTGTAAAGCGCTGAGCAAATTGTTGGCGCTATATAAATCCTGTATAATAATAATAATTCAGGTTTTAAACAAATTTGCTTCTCCTCATTCAGAGACAGAGGCATTATTTATTCACTATATCGTTAACTTAAGGGCCTGAATCTTCTGAATAAACCCCCCTCAATGATTCAAGGGGAAACCGAAGCCAACCTAGAATATTCCATAGAATATGGGTTAAATGTGCTTTCTAACCTCCACAAAAGGACACGCTCTATTGCAGTCAAAGAAACAGCCATCAAACTACACACTAGATGGTATATGACCCCCTTCAAAATTTATGCCATTTTCCCATCGGTCTCTGTGACTTGTTTCAGAGGCTGCCCACGTAGGAGCTGTAACTGTATTGTCTTCCTTTATTTTGTAAAGTGCTGCACAAACTGTTGGTGCTATATAAATACTGGAAGTAGTTAATTGGCGTTCTACCGATGTTTCTTGGTCTCCAGTATTGACTGGATGGAAGCTATTAAATTTATGGAGAACTTACCACACTATCACAGATACCATGCCTGTTTTTGAACAGAAGTGGAACTACTGGTCTTCCTACTAAAATATTATTGTTCGTTGTTCCAATAGTATTTGTAACCAATTTGAGGATCTGTCGGAAACTTTTTCGGATTGTTATCCTTTAGCAGATGGTTTTAATGCATCTCCATGACAGTCCTGTTGTAGATTTCACCTCAGTCTTGAACTATGTTACCACTGTATTGTTAATTCCTGTCTGGATCAATATCTTTTAGGAGTGATGATATATTTCACAGATGTGTTATCTGATTTTCAATCAATATTTTTCTTGTATCATATGCTCAAATAAAAATCATTGGTAAACAACACAAAAAAAAAGAAGAAGAAAGGGAAAAGCTCACAAAAGACCTAATTGGTACAAGCAATGTGGAAAATTAGGAGCATCACTTCCTATTATTTGGATGTTTATGAGCACCCTAAACTGCATCGAGCAATTATCCAGATATTAAACTATCCACTCTTCTTCTCCTACCCAGGGAAAAGGCTATTTAATAACAGGTAGAATGTCACGTCTACAAACAGTGAAACAGTTGGAGAATTTAGTCAATAAGCAAACGCCATAACTGTCGTTGCTAAACTTAACGGACATGTTCTGATTTATAAGACAAGTAGATCGCCAGTGAAGCTTGACAGTTTCACTCATGGCAAAAGTTGAAAACTAAATAAAAGGACGACAGTAAAAATTAGGTGGAGGAGGATTTAAAAGGTGCTTGCAATTTTGTAAGTCACATGGCTCATTTAACAAGTAAATTCATCCAAAATGATGATTTCTGTCTCAGAATAGAAATGCAGATATTTTTTACAGAAAGGAAAATTTGCAAGTCTGGCACTAACAAATTCTGTACCTGATCTACAGTAAAGTAGAAAACATGAATGTGTATGTGAAACTGTGATACTTTACATCTTTTAGATTGTAAGCTCTAATGAGCAGGGCCCTTTGATTCCTATTGCATTAAGTTGTACTGTAAGTGTATTGTCTGCTTTCAATTTGTAAAGTGCTGCACAAACTGTTGGTGCTATATAAATCCTGTATAATATTAATAATTTACCCATGCATTTATTTAAACAAGATTTTAACAGAAATATTTTAATATTCAGGATTAAACACAAAGATGCCAGTACAATTATGCTACTTAAAAAGGAGCTTCAGCCGGGTTCCAAAAAATTAATAGTCAGCAGCTACAAAAACTGTAGCTGCTGACTTTTAATAGACACTCAACTGTCCAGGATTCCAGCACTGTCCTCACCCGTGCCGGTTCTTCACTGGTCTTTGGTTCCCCGGGACCAGCATGTTAATTGTGGGAAGCCGAATGTCACTCCTTGTGAGTTCAGAGATGGCTAACTACTGCTCATGCGTGACCACTGTAAATCGTCCCGCAGCCTCCTGGGACCTGTGATGTGTCACCTTGTGTTTGCCTCCAGGCAAACACCAATAGGAACACACGCATGTTTACATTTTTTTTACATGCCAAACGATTTATAATTCTATACAGCTTATCTTGTGATTTACAAATATGTTCCAAATTGTATAGAGACACAGGTGACATACAGTATGTGGACCCCAATTAAAAATCAATCTTTCTGGTCCTAGCTTTTATGTCACTTTTCCACCTCACCAGCTAATGAGTCAGCATTATTCCTGCTGTCCAGCACACGGGGAGCTGACTGAGGAAGAAACAAAGCTAAATCAGGAAATAGGAGTATTCATCTTGTAAAGGTGTGGTTATTAAAGGAGAGCTGGTGAAAATTACAAATCCTGACATGTAAAACAGTAAACACGAGTATTTTAACTGTGTACATGGCTGTTTGCCTGGAGTTCCACTTTAAATGCACAGAATAACAAAACAGAGAACATCAAAATGTACACAAATAAAATCACAATAGAAAAACACATACATTCCAGGAACAAATATAAAATTTTAAGCAGAAATGCATCAAAAAAATTTAGCAAAACATGAACAACCTGGTAAAGAAACAAAACAACTTTTGCTTAATTTTTCATCTGCCCTCACACTATCTGCCACTAGATGTCCTCAGTTTGATGGTGAGCATCATTTAACCCACTTTCTCTGAGCCCAGGTCATCTGGGACCTGCCCCAACCTGTTTATAGACAGCAAAATGAGAATTAGCACAGTGATGTGCCCATCTCTTTATCACTCTGCACTTGCCTCCTATCAGCATGTTTCTTGCGAGCACATGACCTGACTGGCCCAATGTACTGCTTCTTCCTCTCACACTCCAGCTATGCTATAAATGGACTGCTTGAGGCTGATACTAGGTCAGATTCAGGTGCGTACACTGCTTGCATCGAAATACACATTTAGTGGTGTATTAATGTTTACAGAGCTGATTTCATTTGTGCCTTTTAGATCTGCCTAGAGTTCAGATTTAAATACTCTGCTCACAATTACCAAAATAGATCTATTTACTACTTTAAAAAGAACTAGTATTTTTTCAGATTACTTTCCAAACAATGAACTCATTTTTGCAGCAAAGTAAACTGTATATGTGAATTGAACTGAGACTCCATAATATTTCATTTAAAATACAGTATATGTGCAAGTAGGAGTTTTAAAAATTTATGTTAAAACATTGTCCTATCTTTCAGTGTTAAAGTGGTTCTATGTATTTTGTTTTCTTTAAAATAATAAACATATCATACTAACCTGCTCTGTGCAATGGTTTTGCACAGAGCAGCCCCGATCCTCCCTTTTTCGGGTTCCATGCCAACGCTTCTGGCCCCTCCCCTTGCCGAGATACCCCAGAACAAGCTGCTTGCTCTGGGTCACTTGTGCCTGCTCGCTCCCGAGTCACTTCTGTGAGTCTATGGCACACACAGAGCCCCCCACTCCCTCTTCATTGGCTGCGACTGACAGCAACGAGAACCAATGGCTCCCACTGCTGTGTCTCAGCCAATGGGCAGAGAGAGAGGCCCGGGAGAGCCGCTGCTCTTGTTCATATTGCTGGATCAAGATCTGGTTTAGGTAGGTATTGGGGGGACTGGGGGGAGGATCTGCAGCCTGAAGGTTTTTTTATCTGCATGCATAGAATGCATGAAGGTAAAAACCTTCAGCCTTTAGAACCACTTTAATGCATTGCATTACACAGTTAGACCTACCTCTTGTAATGTTTGGCATACTGTTTTGGTTTCCAGGATGGTGCGCACATGCTGTTTTATTTTGTGAAGCGCCATGTCAAGTTGTTGCGGTAGGGGTAGACTTGAATCAGGCACAACTCCTGTAGCTTCCTCAAACTAGAAGACAAATACAGAAAGCTATTAAAAACTAAAAATAAGCAATAACAGACAATTTAGCCTCGTTAAAAACATGAATGAACCAATCAAAGCAGGTACCTTCCGTGCAGTGGTAAGCACTTCATGTTGTTGCTGCTCATACATATCCAGCTGACGCTCCAGTTCCACCTCTCTTTGATCCCAGGCCATTTGACCTTCTTCGTGAAACTTAGGGATAAACAATATATATTTATTTATTTTTACAGTTACTTATACTGCAAAATCAAATGATGCATAATTTACATATATAGTGCACATTCACATCTCTCTCTCTCTCTCTCTCTCTCTCTCTCTCTCTCCATACACACATACATATACACACACTGCTTAGCATGAGTACATATATGAGTGCTAAAGGTAAGGTTAATAATATAACTTAGATTACAAAGTCATCAGTTTTAATCAAATTAGTTGATGCAAAGATGAATACACCTCACAACAAAATCTACTCCATCTAGTATTTTGTATGACCTCCATGATTTGTAAGGACAGCACCAAGTCTTCTAGGCATGCAATGAACAAGTTGGTGACATATTGTAACATCTATCTTTTCCCAATCTTCAAGAACAACCTCTTTTAGAGCCTAGATGGTGGATGGAGAGTGATGATCAACTTTTCCCTTCAGAATTCCCCATAGGTGTTCAATTGGGGTCTGATCAGGAGACATACTTTGCCACTGAATCACTTTCAGCCTGTTCTTCAGAAATGCAACAGTGGCCTTAGATGTGTGTTTTGGATCATTTTCATGTTGGAAAAATGCACAACAACCAAGGGCACGGAGTGATGGTAGCATCTTTTCTTTCAATATAGAGCAGTACATCTGTGAATTCATGATACCATCAATGAAATGCAGCTTTCGGACACCAGCAGCACTCATGAAGCCCCCCAGAAGGACACTGCCACCACTCATGTTTCTTTGTACTCCTCACCTTTGCAACACCATACAGTTTTAAAGCCATCAGTTCCAAAAACATTTATCTTGGTCTCATCACTCCAGAGTATAAAGTCCCAGTAGTCTTCTTCTTTTTCAGCATGGGCCCTGGCAAATTCTAGGAGGGCTTTTTTGTGCATGGGCTTTAGGAGAGGCTTCTTTCATGGACAACACCCATGCATGCCATTCCTCTGCAGTGTACGCTGTATTGTGCCACGGGAAACAATCAACACAGTTTGACTTTCCACTTCTTTTGCTAATTGCAGTGAACTTGAAAGGCAATGTTCTTCAATTCTTCTCATCAAAAGACGCTCCTGTCAAGGTGTTAACTTCCGTGGACAGCCTGGACATGTCTGTGAGATGGTTGCAGTTCCAGCTTTGTTAAATTTTTGTATCACTTTTGCTACAGTATTCTGACTGATAAGTAAAGCTTCACAGATCTTCTTGTAGCCGTCACCTTTCTTGTGTAAAGAAATTATTTTCTTTCTCAGGCCTTGTGACATTTCTCTTCCATGTGATGCTATTGCTGACAGCATGAAATGGGAAGGGGGTTTCTTTGTTAAAGTGGTTGTAAAGGCTCAGTGTTTTTTACCTTCGTGCAATTTCTGCATGAATGTGAAAAACCTTCTGTGTGCAGCATTCCCCCCCAGCCCCCTCAATACTTACCTGTGCCCCATCGCAGTCCAGTGATATGCATGACAGCCTCAGCTGTCCTGTGTCTGCCTCTTCATTGGCAGAGACAGCAAGAGGTAGCCATTGACTCTTGCTAAGGTCAATCACAGCCAGTCTGCCAATGAGGAGAGAGGGGGCGGGGCCAAGTGTGTGAATGGACACACGGAGCAGCGGCTCAGGAACACGCCTACTCAGGTGTCCCCATAGCAAGCTGTTTGCTATGGGGGCACCCGACAGAAAGGAGGAGCAAGGAGTACCAGCAGGGGAGCAGAGAAGAAGAGGATCCAGGCTGCTCTGTGCAAAATCACTGCACAGAACAGGTAAGTATAACATGTGTGTTATTTTACACAAAACAAAATGAACCTTTAGTATAGCTTTAAGTAACACCCTTTTATAATCAACTGTCTGCTGGACACCTGTTTAATGAATAATTAGACTCACCTTTAGTTGAATTCTTGTTAATTAGGATTTTGTTGTTTAAAATTTAGCTTTGCTCCCAAGTCTTTCATTGGGGTGTATTCAATTTTGCAAGGTGGTCATGAATTAATTTGTTAGGAAAAAATGCTTTTTTGTGTGTCCAAGTTAACAAATCTTGTTTGCAATCAATGGCCCACATTTGTGGGAGTATTTTGTAGTATAGTGCCCCATAGAAAATGTTAATTCTGAAAGGAATGTAAAGGTTTTCTGACAAATCTGTTGGGGTATACTCATTTATGCTGAACACTGTATATTATTGTTCAAAATTCATGGGCAGCTGTGCAAAAATACTGTAAATAAAGAATACTTTCAGAAATAGAAATGTTATTAGGTTGTTTTTATCAATTAACTAAATTGAAAGTAAATTAACAGAAGAGAAATCCAAATCAAATCAATATTTGGTGTGACTCTGCAGGTTGGTTATTCCAAGCATCTTGAGAACCAACCACAGATATTCTGTGGATATAGGCTGCCTCAAATCCTTCTGTCTCTTCCTGTAATCCCAGACAGACTCAATAATGTTGAGATCAGGGCTCTGTGGGAGCCAAACCATCACTTCCTGGACACCTTACTTCTTTACGCTGAAGAGAGCTCTTAATGAGATTGGCTGCATGTTTGGAGAATTGTTCTGCTGCAGAATAAAGTTGGGGTCAATCACATGCTTCCATGATGGTATGACATGATGGATAATAACAGAGGTTAGACAAAAAAATGGAAAAACACTATTTGCATACATGATTTGCAGCTTTGAAAGTGACGACTTGTTTTGCATTGAAAGCGGATGTGATGTAACATGCTCTTGCTTCCATTGTGTGATGAGACCTGTGAAAACGGAGACTGAGCCCTGCAGTAATTTTTCACCAGTTGTTTTCTTATTCCGGGTCGCAATGTCCATTTGTCTCTTTCCGTCAGTTGACTATGTCAACTGCGCTTTTGCTTAGCAGATGACGTTTTCCAGGAAACTGCAAACAAATTGGCAACTTCATCACAGAGGCACCAACTAAGTGGGCACAAACAATTTGCCCTCTTTGAAGTTCAGTAAGCTCTGACATGCCTTCGTATTACTAGCAGCGCATGTAGTCAATGACAAAAGCGAGGATTCTCACCGTTTAGCTAGATGTCTCATCACACAATGACAGCAAAAGTATGTTACATCACTTCAACTTTTAGCGCAAAACATGTCATCACTTTCACACCTTTAAATGTATCTGCCTGTATTTCTCAGCATTGAGGACTCCACTGATCCTGACCAAATCCAACTCAATTTGCATAAATGCAGCGGCACACTTGCAAGGAACCTCTACCATGTTTCACTGTTGCCTGCAGACTCTTGTACCACTCTCCTGTCCTTCAATGAACAACCTGCCTCCTGCTACAGCCAAATATTTAAAATTTTGACTCATCAGTCCAGAGCACCTGCTGTTATTTTTCTGCACCCCAGTTCCTGTTTTCGTGCATAGTTGAGTTGCTTACCCTTGTTTCCACGTTGGAGGTATGACTTTTTGGCAGCAATTCTTCCACGAAGACCACTTCTGGAGAGACTTCTGTGCTTTGTGGCACTGCTGAACATCTTCTGATGTGGAAGAGAAGTAAGCATGATGTGTCTTTCATCTCCTGCATTAAGTTTCCTTGGCTGACCACTGTGTCTACGGTCCTCAACATTGCCTGTTCCTTTGTGCTTCTTCAAACGAGCTTGAACAGCACATTTTAAAACCCCAGGTCTGCTTTGAAATCTTCGCCTGGGAGAAACCATGCTGATGCAGTAGAACTACTTGTGTTTTGTTGCTGTGCTCAGTCTTGCCAAGGTGTATGACTGGTGTCTTCCACAATCTCACCTTAGCAGCAGAGTTTGGCTGGTCCTCACCCAGTTTTAAGACTCCTATGCAGCTGTTTCTGTTTCATTTAATAACGGTTTAAACCTACATATGAAATTGATGATCATTAGCACCTGCTTGGTATAGTTATTTATACACCTGACTCTAATCCTACAAAATCTCTGACTTTGTGAAAGTGTACAAAGTGTGCACATGTAGGAAATGATGCTGGTTTCAAGCCAAAGGGTAGTCACACCAAATACTGATTTCATTTAGATTTTTCTGCTGCTCGCTCACTTTGTTTATTTTTTTCATTTTACAAAATGAAAATACATATTTTTGAAAGCATTCTTATTTTCCGGCATTTCTTCACACCTGCCTAAAAGTTTTGAACAGTACTGTGTGCATATATAGATCACACACACACTGTATAGTGTAAGGGCTCTTTCAGACAAGCAGTAATGCCTGACCACCCTCTGAAAAGCAATCTATAGATTGCTTCTATGTATAGCAGTGGCTGGTATTCCTGCCACCTGTTGTTTTCTTTTTCCTAAACTTCCAAATGGCAATTTTACATTATGGGACTGTGCTGCAACTATGAGACAAGTGGTTGGCTTCCATTTTTAGTGCGGCCCCATTGATCTCAAAGTGCAAGTTTGACAGGCAGTGTCACCTGTCAAACTGCAGTCCCAGTTAATATTGCTGCAGTCATGAGCCTGCATAATGCAGTTTCCTGTGAGTTCTTAGTGCATAATGCAGGGCCGAAATCTGAGTGATCAGCTCAGACCAGCTGCTCACAGCACATGTTGATTCACAGCACTCATTTCCTGCACAAAGAAAACATTCATTTCTTCCTTCACTACAAAATTGTACTTACTGTTCTACTTCTTATTGCCCATTTTATATATAAACAGCATTGTTTGTGATATGCCAAATTTTGTCCATTCTGAAACAGGTGCTTATGCTAGTGTGCTTAATAAAACAATAGAACTGATAAACTGATTGTAACCAAGCTGTGAATTTAAATAATCTGTATATGGCTTGGTACATTGCACTTCACAAAATACTTATTATAATCTGTATATCTTTATATATATATATATATATACCCAACATATTATACAAAAAAACTGGTAGCAACAACCTATATATATTAATAATTAATATAGCTCGTGTAGAAATATATATTTGAAACAGATTCCTATTCATGGGAGTCTTTACTTTGCCTTGCTGGACAAGTTCTTCCTCCAGATTGGTAATTGTTCGCTCTTGTTCAGAGATAACATTTTTCAAATATTTCATTTCTTCTTTCTTCTGATTTAACTCACGAGTTAGTTTTAGGTCCTGCAGCCGCACTTCCTCCATTTTCTTGTGCCATTCTGTAACCTGTAGATATACATTTTTATGACTTTACTAAAGCAGATGTAAGTGTTCAGTATTGTTCAGCATACACTTTTACAAAATTCTGTCCACTTAGTTAAAAAAAAAAAAAGGTGTCTCAGAAGTGCTGAAAATGAGTCCCATACCCATGTAGGAAACTAATGCCTGAATGATGTACAGGCTGTTGCTTTCAATGGCTCCTCAATTCCATCTCATTTTTATTTTATTTTTCTAGATCTTATCACAATATTAATTTTCCCGTTATCTCAAACATGGAGGGTGAAATCAGAGGTTGAAGGAGCGATAAATTGCTGCAGGTCCCCACTGCTGGATTATCAAAGGCTACAGAGAAGCATCGACCGACAGGCAGGCAGACAGACAGAGTGATCTATATTATACAAAATCTATCCCTATTCAGTGACAACTCCCTATCCTTATTCAGTGACACCTCACCAGGACAAAATAGAGTGAATCTTGTCACATGGGACACAAATATCAACTTGATAAAGTTGTTTATCCATACCTACTCTTTGCAAAACTAAACAACAAAATGGCTTTAGATGCACATCAAAGCTATACTCTGGCCAAAAACTATTTTTGCACATTTTTACAAAAAAAAAATAATTACTAATGAAGTATGTCCCATCTTTTAGTGCTGTAGTGTTTGTTACATCTCTTACTATCATTCTACTAGCTGTAGTACACTGACCACAATGGGTCGCTCGCAGTACCCAATCCTCCATTTAGGGAAAGCCTTGCATTCTTGTCACAGAATGCAAGTTGTTATGTGACTGGAGGAGGGGAGATCATGATGTTCACACTTACTCCAATCCTCAAAATTTAAAACATGCAATAAATCATACATGAGTAGATTTTCCAAAGTACTTGCTGTAACTATAATAAAAAATGCACATGATGGATATGAAATATAAAAATCAGCTGGTATTCTAGTGGATTAGCTATGCTTTTTTTTACATTATCAGGTCTATTAACCTCCTCTAAAATATAACAAAATGTGTATTGGGTCTGAGGTAGCCTGATGTGGAGATGGGATACTATACTCTTATCTGTTCAGCAACATGTAAAATAGAGTGGAGGTATATAAATGTACTTTATGCATATATACTACTTTCCAGATTGCATTTACTTTAACATGCTCAACGTGTACTTTTCTTGGAATCACACCTGGTTTATAAAGATTTTATCATTAAAGATCTTATAAATTCATAGAATACATTAAACTCACATTGCAGGGAACACATCTGGTACCCATATCTAGATTGTGCACTATAAAGAATAAAATAAAATGTATCTGGAAGACATCAGAACTGCAGAACGAAAGCACATTCACTCTGATCTACTCTACTCTAGAAAAGTGTCATAATATGTTTTGTAACAGGTTACTTCAAAATGAAAAATTAGGCAACTAATTTCTAACATCAGCTGCTTTGTCTATTTAGTATAACGTGGTTTTTTTCCCAATTTACAGATTAAGCCCCTGCAATACCTCCTGACAGAATATATAACTATAAATCAGATACCTAATGGTAAATTAACACCAAATGTCTGAACAGTATGTCAACGTTACCCATACAAGATACATTTTTTTTATATTCTCTGTGAACTGGTGTCTACAAGTATACTCATTATTAAATGTACTTAAATATTTTATTGTTACTTGTTATTGCCTACTTGCAAAGACATAAAGAATCATTTAATCAAAAACAGTCATTACTAATAAAACGAATGATGAAATCCAGAAATTTTGAAGCCACGAGAAAAGAAAAACATTTTTTCCCTGTTTTTGTTCTGGAAAAAATGGACATTTTGGGAAAAATTAAAAAAAAAAAAATTAAAAAAAAGGTCAGTGTGTGGACTAGTTTTACAAATTGAAAGTCTTTGTTACACTGGGAAGGTTAAATCCCATGCATATAAAAATTAATATGCTTGAAATAAAAGTACAGCTTATTCCGTAAATAAACTAAACTTGCTTTTTAAAATTTGTGATGATCCAGAAGCAGCAGAAAGTGTTTCTGGACTGAAATCTCTTGAGGGAAAAAACAATTTACTGACACATTATGCTGTGATGGTGGAGAACATTAGCAGGAATCATTTTAAAAAGATATTTATAAAGATAACCTAATTTGTCAGACAGATTTACCCTCTTACCTGTCAATTAAGGCTTGAGAGGAGAAAAGAAACTATTCTCTACTGTATCCCAACAATCACCCAACTGTAGGAAGTACAGGATGGAGCCCACTAACAAACAAAACTGGAGCTTTTCCCCTGCAGTGCCCCATTGTGGCAGGAATGCATATGTTCTTGTTTGGGAACTGCATTGAGGAGTACAGTGTTACTTAAATTGTATTTCAGGATTTGCTTGTCTTCAGCTGAGAGAACTTGCAATAATTTAAGACTTTACATAAAACGTCAGAAATCTTTCATTAATATCTTCATGTCTAAAAATTCCACACTCCTTTTTTTGTTCAATTTTTTTGTTTTATTTCAAGGCCTTCCCATCTTTACACACCATAAATGCATTTATCCAACTCATGGAGATTCAAATAGTAAGATCAATGCACATTTTCTAAGGCTGCAACTCTGCTTGGAACCCATTCATTGTGAGACCCCACTGTCCCTGATATAATTAGATGTTTGCACATACCCCAAAATTTTTCTTCAAATCATTTGAGGGACACCTAAATTCAGAAACAGTCAAAACTATACTGACAGCCACAAGAGATTGGGACAGTGGCAAACAGAAAACTTGTAAAAGCTAATCTCTGTATAAAACTCCTTCCCTGCCTCAATTTTGTGAACAAGCAATACATAGGGCCAGCAAAAAAAAAAAAAAAAAAAGACCTATGAAACAGTAGGGTTATCCAAAAGCAGTCCAACTGAGGGGGGAGCAACAGCCACTGACAGAACCAAGAAAGGGTCACAAGCTGTCTATAACACAGGACTACCAGAAGCACGAATGCCCAAAGCTTACCCAGATGAGGTGAAGTTCTCTGTAAGACAAGATGGTCCTGGGACAACTTATCAGTATCCCACACACATGAGATTGCCCTACACATTTGTAAACATCGGTCCCATACAAGATACAAGTTTTGAGGCCTGTAACAAACCTTTACAACTAAATCACAAGGCCCTAAACATTTGCTCCAGCCTCTCTATAAAATGGATCAGGTGAAGCAGAAAGGTCTTTGCAGCTATAAGAGCTCTAAAAGACCCAAAGCCTGGGTCTTAAACCCACAAGAATAAGGTTGCCTTGCCAGTCAGTTCATCTAGCACAAGATATACAAGGAACACGAGAACCTCACAGTGTAAAAAAATCAAAGGATAGCCAACAGAACCCCTGAGACTAGTAGCAGCCCGCGGGGGTATTAATCTGATGTTAACCTGAATGAATAAGAGAGGTAAGGGAGCGCAAGATGTACCCCTTTAGGGGTAGGCAGGGATAAAGGGTTAACTATAACCCCAGGCTGGTGCACATTAACACCAAAACAGCAGGAAGAAAAGCAAGACTCATCCCCCTAACACACCTGGAGGTGTCTCAGGCCTGCTAGAGGAACTCTGCATGATCTGCCTAACCATAATCCAGTACATGGCTCTAAGAGTAATGAGAATTGCCCCAGTCAGGAAAAGCATCCACAGCCATGGAGCAAGAGGAAGGATCACTAGCCAAACAGCCAACAACATTCATCTGATTAGGCACAGAACCAAGAAAAAAAGAATCTGGAGATAATTCCTTAAAAGCTTGCATATCAGCCAAAGAAGGAGAATCGGGTCCCAGAAAGGTCCCTGCTGAAAACTCAGGGAAACGCAAAGTCCTCAGTGGGAAGTGACCACTCCATTTACTTTAAGAGACTAATGGGTCATTCCAGGGACCTTCTTGTCCATAGGGACCGTACGGATGACTCACCTCAAGTCCAGCCTCCCAAAGAGAAAGGCAGGATGTTAGATCAACACCCTACAAACATCTAAATAAGAATGAGAAGGAATTTCCTTGACAGCAGCTATCACCTTTTGTATCACCTCCCCTTCCTTTAGATTGTAAGCTCCATGGGAAGTGCCCTCCCATTCCTTCTGTTTTGATCTGTATTGTAATTGCACTGTCCCCCTTTATATTGTAAAGTACTGCGCAAACTGTTGGCGCTATATAAATCCATAATAATTATTATTATAATAATCCCAGAGCATCAAGCAGAGTGCAATGCAGAGGGACTACTTGTAAAGTTGGAGCTGTAATAGGGAGCAAAGCCGCATAAGCCGATGCCTCCTCTGTAGTGCTGGTTCCCATGTGAAGTTATAACAACTGCACTCCACCTCTTATCCCAGGTCTTCAGGTCAAGCAATACACTAAGCATGATAGTATAGGGATGCTATAACACCCTTTCCCTGCGGTTTACCCACAACGCGGGTGCAGTGAGGTGTACCTGCAGCTTTACTGAGGGTTTGCTTCACTTAGCTATAGACTTCTATTATATCCTGTGGATTTGGTACACTTTTTGAAAGTGCGCAAAAACTCCTGAATGCAGGAGCCTAAAAAAAAAAAAAAAAACAACTAAATGTACCTACGAACACCTATACTAGCACCTAACTAGGAGGGTGCTACTCAAACGTAGGGTTTTACCACTCAATTCAGGGGGTCCCCCTGAAAAGTGAGGCTATAGAATTCTCTTAAGGAAAGGAATGAAATTCTGGATAGGATACTACTCCTGATACAAACTTCCCACCTGAATGGGAAAAGGGGGTCCCAAGGCTTGGAGAGGTATCCAGAAGGACACACTGCTAAGTGATGTAGCAAAAAGAAGGAAAGGGGCAAATGAAGGAGAAGCCAGAAACAACGAATTAGCCAATGGGCTAAAAGCGGTGTACTGAGCACCAGGGGTGGACTGACAACTCATGGGGCCCCTGGGCTATAGGGGATCATGGGGCCCCTGTGTCCTCGCCCACACTCAAACCACACCTAAAAAAGCCTATGAAAGGTAGCAGGAGCATCTCATGGGGCCCACTACCGACCCCAGGCCCTCGGGCAGTGCCCGAGTTCTCGAATGGTCAGTCCGCCCCTGCTGAGCACCCAAATGCTGGAGAGGCAAACTACCTGAGGTCCCATCCAGATATACACACAGCCCCCCACTTTGGTTTACCACAGGGTTTACCTGAAATCCAGTTTCATCATCTATTGACTGAGTGGACATTAGGCTCCAAAGGCCTACAAGTACTTACTGCCAAAGAAGATGATGTAAAAGGGTAGAATTCCTCTTACCCTTCCACAAATCTCTTGCGCTGATGTAGGAGAACACTCTGCCCACCCATGGTGTCAAGAACATATCTGAAGAGATGATCCCATTGTTCCTGAATTCCAGTGCCCCTCAATTTTTATTATGGTGAGTGCTGTAGGAGGATGAACTATCAGGCAGTAACCAAGAATTATTACTAATAAGCAAAGCAAGCTAGCTAGCCACATTTCCAGCCCAAAGGCCCAGGTCAGGCGATGGTCTTTACTAGAGTGTAATTATGTTCTATGCAGTTCAACTTTGAGTATTTGAGTACCGATTTCCATTTGTCATTATGGTAAATACCAATTAAGTCACTTGAAACATCTGGCAAGATAAAATCTAAGTAAAAAAAATATATATAAATTTATGTCTATAAATGCTGTACTCAAGTTTGTAAATTGCTCAGCATTAGAATGACTAACCTTCTGAGCTCCTCTAGCATCTTTAAGGGTGGCAATAAGCTCTTCCAAGCCCTTCAGCTTTAGCTCTAGCTCTAAGGCACGAGTCTCAGTATCCCGCCGGTCTTGCTGTACAAGCTGCATTTCATTACCAATCTTCATCTTGTCACTCTGCAGCTCCATCATTGTCTTGGAGAATTTCTCCTGTTGGGCTAATGGAAGTGCACCACTGAACTGCCTTCTCAGTGTCTGAATGGTGTGGCAAAGGTGCTTGGCTCGGTTTCTGCCTTCTAACCGGGCATAATATAATGCCTGCTCTTTATCATCAATCTTCTGTTCCAAACGCAAACTGTAGGCTTCTAATTTGTGCAGTTTGGTGGTTGTTGCTTCCAACTTTGCTACAGCAGTTGCTTCACTGACTTGAAGAGCTACAATCTGCTGGTGTAATTTTGCAATCAGTGCTTTCTCATCACTCTGATCCTACAAAAAGAAAGTCATAGCAAAAATATAAGTAGCTTTATAAAGGTGACAGATATTAATTAACCACTATGTGTGACATATGTTGGATTATTAGGTACCTAATATACTACAGTACATTAGCTAAGGTGCTCTATATGGGCAGAAAATAGTCAGAACTCTTAATATTTTAATGAACGAATAGACTGTAAATGTATGCATTTGATATCTGACTAGAAATCAGCCGTAAAGACTGAGTGTCTATATCTAATATTAGATGTGAAATATTTTTGCTTTATTAAAAATGTGAATGTTTAAAACCAAAATAGTTCAGCAATAGCAAGTGCCTGTTTAGCATGCTTATACCTCATTAAATCTGCATACTCTACTAGTTTACACTATGGGTAGTGTTTCTATCTTTCTTTTATGATGCCACTGCAAATGAGTCCAATTGTTCACTGATCTATGGGAACATAGCAGTACGGCTGTCTGGCAAAGTACTTGGCAGAGTTTGGATATCCTTGTGGAGTGTATAGAGCGCTGTTTGACCACTCATTACTGGGGGTTACTCGAATCCAGTAAGCTCCCTTCTTTTCACACTGAGATGGTGTGCGGCTTTACTATGGGGAAGTTCAGAAGCTGTTGGGAGCCACAACTATCCTCCTCTTGTTATATATAACAAAAAGGTTTACCTCTTGGCTCTTCAGTTATGACGTTTGATCTTCACTTTTCAGCACTTCAAGCAGTCCTTTGAACTCGTTCTTTAGAATGATTGTGTTGCATATGTTTTTACGAATTGATAGTCATATTGTATTTTTACAGTGCTGCACTAGTGTTTAATTATATATATATATATATATATATATATATATATATATATATATATGTGCTAATAATCTTGATGGAAAAGTCTGGGGAGGGGGTGCAGGGTGGAAGGGGGGAGCAAGTATGAGCTCAGCTTTTGAAAGATTGATTTGAGACAGTAGTTTGATATCCATGCAGTTATGTCAGTTAGTAAGTTAGTGGTGCACAAGGAGATTGTAGAAGTAAGCTGAGGAGTACAGAGACAGATTTGGGCATCATCAGAATAGAGATGGTATTGGAACCCATACGAGATTATCAAGTGACCAAGGAAAGAGGTGTAGATAGAGAATAGAATAGATAGGGACCAGGACAAACCCTTGGGGTACCCCTACACAAAAGTATATTTTTTTCTGTGTAAGTCCTTAATCTCATTAAAAGGGCGATTTCCTTCAGTGTAATAATCAGCAGCCTGGGTGGCATTCGGTGATTAATCACAAATGATAATTCACATGTATTTCAACTACGTATTTAACTGTGGACCTAAAGCTCAGTTTTATGTGCTAATAACATGGAGATTATAAAGATCCACAATATTATATAAAGACACTCTAAGTGCCACTTTGCATCTCTCTAAGCATGTTACACTGTTTGTATTAACTATATAAAAACACATCTACAGCAAGCAGTCTGACCATAACAGATTTTGCTGACCTAAAAAAATTGTAAAAATATAATTGCATCCTGCTATGCAGGTAACATCTGTACTGTTATTTCACTGAGATGAATCTGAGCTCCAAAAACAGCATGAAATGGAGTCAAGGTATTTACTACTTTCATGGAAAACATAGTATAAGTTAAAGAATTTACCGACCATGAACAATGTTTTGCATGTGGTAAAGACAGCTGTTGCAGCAAACACAACATAAACTTCAGTCATTTAACACATTTATCAGCATGAGCCTTATTCAGGCACAAGTATCAAGGTATCTGAAGTGCCAACCTGGAAATCCAAGACTTGTTTCCGCAGAGACTCCACCTCCTTTTCTCTTGACTGCTGTCGGTTAACTAGTGTGGAGATTTGTGCTTTGGCAATATCAGAAAGGCTGCGTAGTCTAGTGAAAGATAACACACACACAAATTGAAAATGATATATACTATTCTGCTTAAAAGCTTAAAATAACATGCTTTTCTTGGAGTCTATTAGGAACACCAGAAGTCTTAAACCTTTGGATAATACTACAGGAGGATTGGCTAGCAGAGCAGTACATGATCCACGAAAAAGTCTTGTGACGAGTGCAAAAATATTATTTCCAGTCCTTTTGACTGGTACCTTGGGCATTTATGAATATAGCAAAAATAGGCAGCACTGTTATTATGCAATATGATACAATAATGATAACATCAACAATAAAATCAAAAGTCTGTGAATAAAATGCCAATATAGTCCTTGTCACCAAGTATCTAAAAGTCCATCCATCAACTGGCAGTGGTTCTACAAAACTCCAAGACTTTTAAAATTCCATGCAGAGGGCACCACCATGTGTAGATCACCAAATCTCCACACTCACTGACATTCACCAGAATGAATGGCTTATCTAGGTATCCTGTGCCAATAATGTGAGATTAAAGATGTCCAGTGTCCTCAAAGGCTAACAGACACTCCCATACCTCTTCCACTCCCCCACCTTTGGCAACTCCATACTGAAGCAGATTTATCTGAGCACTTGGCATGCTGGCTGGGAGGCATTCCTACGTTTGGAGTCCTGAGAAGGACTTTTTTCACCTCCAACAAGGGATGAACCTTGCTTGTCTGTGCCTTACGCTTAATTACCTAAGGCAGATGGGTACCCTTGCCATGGTATCTTTTTGGCATTCAAGCTACAGCTGAAGAGATCATGTTCCTTAAAGAAAATGTGAAGCAAGTGCCTCTAAGTTGCAGGCTTTAAAGTCCTACACTTTAACCAAATTGCTCTAGGAGTGTGAATGGAAAGAAGACTAATGTCTGAAATAATAAAGAAACTGGGCAAACATTCAACGTTTTTCAAATCAAAACCTCAGCAAAGACTGCATGAAGAGCAGATCTCTGGAGAAGGCCTTTATATGCTTATCAGTGGGGTCTTAACAGAGAGGTGCATCTTCCATTGGAATGGTGGTTGTATTATTAAAGCAAGACACTGGCAGATTCACAGTGAAAGCAGGCCACTATTTAAATGGATACAAGAGCAATAGGCACAGTGTGAAGTAAAAATTTTATAAGGGTGTTTGCAATCTTCGTAGAGGAAGACCTAAAACAGCAGATGCACTGGAAAAGGCTTGGCAGCTCTAGTAGAAGCAGCAGGCTGATACGTTTCACATAAGTGCACACTGCATCAATAAAGGACAAAGCGGTCTCTTTCATTTTGGGAATAATAGCAGAAGACCGCAACTCCGCAGAGGCAAGCTTATCCGGGAGGGACCATAAAGTCATGCATGACTAGGGTTGCCACCCCATCCCTTTAAAACGGAACACATTGATTACACAGGTTCTGTGGCTGATTAAAGTGGTAATTAAACTCATTTGGTGCCTTGTCTGCAATAAGTTTGCCTGAGAAGCTGTGTAATTAATATGTGTTTGGCTTTAAAGGGATGAGGTGGCAACCCTATGCTTGACATAAGTAAAGAACTCCTTGGAGAGAGCTAAGGAGGTGGCAACAACTATGGTAACTAGGAAAAAATCTAAAGATGGTAAAGACCCTAGAAGCAGAGAGCACAATTGCAGGCATCATATTCCAGTCATATCACTGGATTTTCTGCAAGCAGCACTAGAGTTTTTAGCAGGATATGAGCTGGGAGCACCTGGTATGGCAGGGCTGTTCCTGCCGTGTAACCACACGGCACTAAAGGTGGGTACAAAAATCAAAAATTGGCTGGTTTGGCTAAATTCATCCAAATTCCGATCTGTGTGTTGTCTATCTGGTTCAATAGAAGTCGATCATTCAATCAGCTTCTGTCAAATGGTCCAGCTGGAAAACCTCCTTCAAACAGCACCTTGCAGCTAATCGGCTGCAAGGCGATCAGTGGATTCTAACAGTGGAGGAATCCCCGCTATCAGAATACAAGAACACAGTGACTCCTGTATCCACTTCACTTGTGTGGATGCAGGAATCTGTTACTTCTTTTTTAGCCCACTGATTAAACAGAAAAAACAAATAGTGTATACCCAGCTTAACACAGTGTGAGCTCAGGGTGTGTGACGTTGAACCCAAGGGATGCACAACACCTGGTCACTGCAGGCAAGTAGTGGAAATGAGCTGAAGATTGGAGTTCCACATTGTTCTTTGCAAAGCAGAAGCAACAGAAAGGTGCTGAATGACAGGAAATAGCAGCAACACTCAATTTGGCAGATGATGTCAGCTTTCAGTTCCTCAGTATTATCCCTTCCAAGGTAAAACCATTGAAAAAAGCTAATTTCCAAGGTGGCCAACAAAGTAGTCCCTAGTGCTCAGCTGAACTGCTCAGACACAGGGCAAGTGTTGAGGGCTTGTTACTAGAGTGGGGTCTGAAAAGGACAAAATGCAGAACCTAGTGCCCAAAAGTCACTTCCATGCTCAACAATGTTCAGTCTATCTGGGTCCAGCTGTGCACTCCAAAAGCCAAGGTGAGGATAGGCCACACCATATAACTGCCATTGTAAAAACTAGCTCTAACAATAGTGCTAGAAGTTGTTAGAAGGTTTAAGAAAAAGATAAGGAAAAACTTTTAGCGTTAAAAAAAAAATAAAAAAGAAAGCCTACTGCAGAAAAAAAAAAAGTTCATCTGCTGATAGAATGGGGGTTATCTTGGGATGGGCTACATTTGCTTGCAAGTGTCCAATCTTCCTGTAGACATTAGTATAACCCAAATGTCTAAGACTTTTCATGTCCCACATTGGAAGAGAAAGCAAATTTTGCTTTACCACTACGTATTTTACTGGGTATTTTCTAACACTTTCTAAATTCAGGGACATCCACTTTGTGCCACTTTGATATGCATTTAGGTCTTAATGGAGTTCCTTATGTTCACAGTTCCCTGTTTTATTTAATGTTACCCTTTTCCATTTCCAAATAATGGAAATAAACACACACTTACTTGGAACCTTCAACCTTGAGTTCTGCTTCACTCTTTTCCAGCTCTAGTATTCTTCTGCGATCTGCTTCATACACTGCTTTGCTCACACTGTTTGCAAGTTCATCCCTCAGTGCTTGCTCAACTTTTTGTGCCTCAAGATTAATTTTAGTAAGCTAAGAAAACAGTAATAAATATATAATGCCAGTAAGTGTAAACTAAAACTCAGTTCTCTGGATTCCTCCATTTGGCCTAATAAAGAAAATAAAACGTAAACAAGTGCAGCGGCAAAGACAGATACCTACATTCTTTATTAACATAGCGCCATTCTGTATGTGTTTTAAAATTAACCTGGCCTTTCCAAGCTCTAGCACTGCCCTCAAAGTCCTCCTCTGTGGACATCCTCCTAGTAGAATCATGCCCAGCATTGTTCAACGCACTTATTGTGAGCTCCAGAGAATCATGGACACACCCTCATAGTTGTGTCATCTAACAAGCGGGGATCATGGGGAAATGCTACCACCCACTGCCAGGGGACACCCTTATAAAAAACATACCCGTCCAAATGTTTTGAATTTCTCAAGTATTTATGTTTTGTACCAAGCTGTCCACTAACTCAGAAACCATAGTTGCCCATATCCTTACTTTCTGTGAAGGCCCTTAGTCTATGTTTATGTAAATGCATAGCTCTTTGTTTAATTCTTGAACAAGTTCTCTTAAGAAGTCTCATACAACTGAGCATAAGTAAGAGGTTGCATACCATGTTAAAATCTTCAACAGTCCTGCCTAGAAGTAGTTTGAGAAGTGTAAAAAATTTGGCTGTACTCAAATTTAAAATGGAACTATACTCATAACAACTCGATAAAAAAAACAGTGTTCTTTAGCAAGAAACATACATTTCACATTAATAATCATGCTACCAAAATTAGTGTGTGCTGAAAATTGCCTCTAGCATTGCTCCTGTTTCTTCTTGCTGGAGGCTGCCATTTTGCTGAAGCCCAGAGTCCTGAGCAGCATTAAATCTGTAGGCTGTTAGCAGATCAGGCTTTACAAATTTGGCACAGTGCTGAAAATTAGAGAGAACTGAGCATGTGCAGAGCAAAATGAGAAAGTGTATTACTGAATTTTAAACAGTATAGACACTTATGTTTTACATGCTATACCTGCAAAAGGGGCCAGCCTGAAGTGATTTAGCAGAACCTAATTTTCTGACGTAAGTTCCACTTTAAGTGCAATTCCAGCCTTTTGAACAGCATTATTGGTGTTAGTGGTAAACTGATAAGCTTTAATATTAACTGTGGTTGAAAATAAATTAGTGAAACTGTCACAAATTAATGCATAACAATCATGACTATGTAACACGGATTGTAATCAAATATAACATTATGATTTTAATATTTTTGCCTTTACCATAAAATATTACCAAATATAATATTTTTTGCTTTCTGTGTGTTTTTGATGAGATTATTATACAACATAAAAAAAAGCAAACCATAATGCAGTATGTTTGTTTTGCAATGACACTGCATGGACACCAACATTAACAAAAAATAGAAATAGGAGCAATGCAAATGTCTGTTATATCAACAACCACCAGCCAAAAACAAGCCTTACTTTGTAAACTGCAGCAGAAAAATTGCAGATGACATCTGGTTGTCTGTCTGTGAGCTGTCAAACATCTTTCATTTTTCTGTTTTTTAATTAGCCCCTGAAATTCAACTATTAACAGTGTACTTGAGTACTTAGGCCCCATTCACAACTGAGAGCTTTGTATTGCGAAGCTCGAAACTCCAAAACACTCAGGGGGAAAAAAAAAAAAATCAACATTATGCTATGGAAATGATTCACATCTCCACTCCAAGTCACCTGAAGCAGAACGCCTGAAGTTTAAAGAAAGTTTTGGAGCTACTTTTGTAGCTCAAATTGGGCAGATTTGCACATTTTTAGAGCATTTATATTCCCATAGAAAATAATAGAAACGTGAGACTGGCGCATTTTTGCGTGCTTTCGCACGTTTTAACACGCATTTTGTCCAATTTTCTGCTCAAATGAAAAAAAAAAATAGTAATAATATATGGATAAATAAATGTAAAATAAATACACATATAAATACAAAATCATGATAAAAAAAAAAAAATACGTGACCACTAACCTTAAAAAAAAATATGAATTAAATTATTATTATTATTATTATTATTAATAATAATAAGAATAATAAACACCTGAACGAAAAAAATATACATTGATAATAACAATAATAATAATAATACAGTATGGTTATTATTTTATTACTTTTCTAGATTTTAGGGGGTTAAGGTTAATTATTCTTAATTTAATATTACAGTTTTTGTTTCAATACGTTTTTATTGGTATAAAAGGTATATACCACAGGGGTAGGTATACAAGTATGAGCAATAACATTACATGTCAACAGCAATTGTTCAAGTACATTTGCATGGAGTATGACAAGTAAAACATAGTAGAACATATCAGAAAGGAGCGCAGAGGAATTAGTGATAATATGATTGTCTATGTGAATATTTTCCTGTGTGTCCAGATCTTCCATCGGTTTTCAAATGTTGCACGTTACAGAATTAATGGTTACTAAGTGTTCATATATGTGATTTTGCTAGACCATAGTAATCACTTCTGAGATGTTGGAGGAATCTATTGATTTCCATTTTTTGAGTACTATCGTTCGAACTGCTAAAAGTATATGAGTGACTACGGGTCTAAAAGGAGGAAGGTAGTGTATCTATACCTAGGTATAGTAGTCCTAGGCTTGGATTTGGGCTGAGTAAAATGCCTGTTGTGGATGATAGGAGTTCAAATACCTGCTTCCAAAAGCTAGTAAAGCTGGGGCATTTCCAGAATGCATGAAGATGTCCTATTTGGTCACATTGGCACTAGCATAGGGAAAACGGAGAAGGGGAAAATTTGGCTAATTTGAATGGAGTGTAGTGCCATTGGTTAGTTATCTTAATTGTCATCTCTCAGTGGTTGATGCAGTGGGTTGCTTATAGGTCCTGCAAATTGTAGGTTGCTACTGGTGTTCTGTGAAGGAGGATTGTAGGTCAGTTTCCCATTTCAGCATAGTGTTTATCTTGGTGAAAGTCAACATATTATGTAGAATGCTGTAAAAAAGGGATATGCCCTTTTCGCCTGGCTTTTGTGTGGTATAAAATTGCCAAATTTTGGGATGTACTTGTGGCTCTGGCATAGGCGTTTAGTAAAAAAAAAAAAGAATACGAGCGCAGGTAAAGTGAAGAAGTCTAGGGAGACTAAACTCTGCTATTATAGAGTCTACGGTGCCTTGAAAAAGTATTCATACCCCATGAAGTTTTCCACATTTTGTCATGTTACAACCAAAAACGAAAATGTATTTTATTGGGGTTCTGTATGTTAGACCAACACAAAGTGGTACATAATTGTGAAGTGGAAGGAAAAATGATAAATGGTTTTCAAATTTTTTTATAAAGAAATATCTGAAAAGTGTGATGTGCATTTGTGTACAGCCCCCTTTACTCTGACACTCCTAACTAAAATCTAGTGGAACCAATTGCCCTCAGAAGTCACCTAATTAGTAAATAGAGTCCACCTGTGTGTAATTTAATCTCAGTAAAAATACAGTGGTTCTGTGAAGCCCTCAGAGGTTTGTTAGAAAACATTAGAGAACAAACAGCATCATGAAGGCCAAAGAACGCACTGGACAAGTAAGGGATAAAGTTGTGGATAAGTTTAAAGCAGGGTTAGGTTATAAAAAAATATCCCAAGCTTTGAACATCTCACGGAGCACTGTTCAATACATCATCAGAAAATGGAAAGAGTATGGCACAACTGCAAGCCTACAAAGTCATGGCCGTCCACCTAAACTGATAGGCTGAGCAAGGAGAGCATTAATCAGAGAAGCAGCCAAGAGGCCCATGTAACTCTGGAGGAGCTGCAGAGATCCACAGCTCAGGTGGGAGAATCTGTCCACAGGACAACTATTACTCATGCACTCCACAAATCTGGCCTTTATGGAAGAGTGGCAAGAAAAAAGTCAGTGTTGAAAGAAAGCCATAACAAGTCCCATTTGCACTTTGAGAGAAACCATGTGGGGGACACAGAAAACATGTGGAAGAAGGTGCTCTGGTCAGATGAGACCAAAATTGAACATTTTGGCCTAACAGCAAAACTCTATGTGTGGCAAAAAACTAACACTGCACATCACTCTAAACACACCATCCCCACCATGGAACATGGTGGTGACAGCATCATGTTGTGGGGATGCTTTTCTTCATCAGGGGAAGGGAAGCTGGTCAGAGTTGATGAGAAGATGGATGGAGCCAAATACAGGACAATCTTCGAAGAAAACCTGTTGGAGTCTGCAAAAGACTTGAGACAGGGGCGGAGGTTCGCCTTCCAGCAGGACAACGACCCTAAACATACAGCCAGAGTTTCAATGGAACGGTTTAGATCAAAGCATATTCATGTGTTAGAATGGCCCAGTAAAAGTCCAGACCTAAAACCAATTGAGAATCTGTGGCAAGAGCTGAAAGTTGCTGTTCACAGATGCTCTCCATCCAATATGACAGAGTTTCAGCTATTTTGCAAAGAAGAATGTGCAAAAATGTCACTCTCTGTGTACAAAGCTGGTAGAGACATACCCAAAAAGACTTTCAGCTGTAATTGCAGCGAAAGGTGATTCTACAAAGTATTGACTGAATACAAATGCATGCCACACTTTTCAGATATTTGTAAAAAATGTTGAAAACCATTTATCATTTACCTTCCACTTTACAGTTATGTGCCACTTTGTGTTGGTCTATCACAAAAATTCCCAATAAGATACATTTACATTTTTGGTTGTAGCATGACAAAATGTGGAAAATGTTAAGAGGTATGAATACTTTTTCAAAGCACTGTAGATAGCACCTTCGACATATAGTTCCAGTTGACTCTATCAAAAGCCTTCTCTGCATCAATGGAAAGTAACAGAGAAGGAGTTTCGGTTTTATTAGCATAGTGTATAATATTCAATATCCTTCTGGTGGCGTCAGAAGCCTGCCTCCCTCTCACAAAACCCATCTGGTCACTTGCACTAATGAGGGAATAAGATCTCTTAAATGTTTAGCTAGTAGTGTTTAGCATATACCTTGATATCTGTGTTCAATAGTGAAACTGGCCAAAAGTTGGTTGGAGTAGTTATTTATTTGTGTATTTATTTTACATTTATGTATTCATTTATTATTATTATTATTATTAATAATAATGTATTTCTTATTCAGGTTTAAGTGTTTATTATTAATAATAATAATTTGTTTAACATTTTTTATGGGTTAGGGGGTTAAGGTTAATTATTATTTATTATTACATAGTATTTATGTATAATTATTTTTATTTACTTGTGTATTTATTTTACATGTATTTATTTTATTCATTATTATTATTATTATTATTATTATCATCACCCTAACAATAAATAAATAAATAATAAGAAAATAATAAATAAAATACTAACCCCAACCCAAACCCTGACCCCTAATCCTATCCCTAACCTAACCTTAACTCTAACTTCTTATCTTAACAAAAAACAAAATAATAATAATAAATAAATAAATAATAATAATAAGAAAAAAAGAAATAAAAGCTGATGGAAAAGATGAAGCAGAAAAACCTGGCAACAAATGATGCAACAGATGATATTTTTCTCTATTGGCTAATAAAAAAACCGCCAAAGCTCAAAAACCGCTAAAAATGCTGTATGAAAAAATGTGCAAAAACTGGCAAAAGTCATGGTAAAATATGTGCAAAAAACGCTACGCTCAGATATGAATGGAGCCTTAAAGTGGTTCTAAAGGTTGAAGGTCTTTTACTGTCATGCATTCTATGTATGAATGTAAAAAACCTTAATGTGCAGCCCCCCCCAATACTTACCTGAGTCAGATCTCTATCCAGAGATGTGCACAAGAGCAGCGGCTGTCCCAGGTCTCTCTTTCCTCATTGGCTCAGACTCAGAAACAGGAGCCATTGGCTTCCACTGCTTTCAATCACAGTCAGTGAGGAGGGAGCAGGAGAGGGGTGGACTGTGTGTGTCATATGGACATAAAGGGCCAGCTCGGGAGCAAGTAATCTCAAGTTTTCCCCACAGCAAGAGGTTTGCTGTGGGGGCACTCGGCAAAGGCGGGGGTCAGAAGCACTGTCAGGGTACCCGAAAAGAGGAGGATTACTGCTGCTCTGTGCAAAACCATTGCACAGAGCAGGTAATTATAACATGTTTGTTATTTTCATTTTTATATTTTTTTACCTTTACAAACACTTTAAGCTAAATCTAGGTTCTTGTCCACACTAATACACAGTCATATTGTACTCCTAAAGACAATAATGAAGCTATGGAAGAAAATACATTTCCAAACATTCACTATATGCTACTTGCCACATTCCCAACTTTTATTCAAAAATAAGGACGAATAGTTCTTACCTCAGCAAACTTGAACTCTAGTTCAAAGTTACGTTCCTCCACTTGTTTTAAGGTAGTCCTCAAGTGCTCATACATCTTCTGGGAATGCTCTGCTCTTTGTCTTTCATTTAACTCTTTCATTTCCAGCATTGTAATTTTTTTGGAAATAGACATTATTTCATTATTGGTTATCGCTTTGGCAGCTTTGTCAATTGTAGCATTACCTCCTATAAGAAAACATTAAGAATTGTTTTATGTATGTAAAAATTGCCACAACTGCTTTTTTTTCTTTCACAAGACAATAAAATAAGAGATGAATAAAATATGAGATAAAAATTTCCAATCTGATTCTGTTATTTTCTTTTTTCCTTCATAGCTTTTCCTCTTTTCTTGTTCCTGCTGTCTATGCTTTAGGAAGTTTGAAAGATAAAAGTCACCTTAACAAATGAATACTTTGCGAACAGTGTTTTTGGGATGTCCTAGCAAATGGGAAAAAAAATACTTACCTTTTCTAGACAAACATAGGATTCTTGTACTCACTGTAATATCCTTTTCTTGGTAGTCCGTTGAAGGATGCAGCAATTCAGAAACAGGGGTTATATGGCTGCCTACAGAAGAATTGGACACTGGCAAACAGAAAAAGGGTAAGCCAGCACCAGGACAACTCCTCCTACCTGCACTAAGAAAAGGAATGTACAGTAAGTATTAAAATCATATTTTCTTTCCTATTCACTAAGGGACTCAGGAATTTGGATACAGTTGGGATGTCCAAAAGCAATCCAACTGAGAAGTGGCCAACACAGAAACATATGCTAACAAGCCCAAGAAGAGCGCTTAGAACTGTCTGCAGCACAGAAATCACTTGAAGGACCAACACCCACATCTGAACCAGATAAAGCAGAGCTCCATAGCATATAGGAAAAACTGTGATTACAATGAGAGGGAGGGCACAGAGAATCAGCCTGATCCTCAAGAAGATAAAAAAGCCCTCAGCAGAAGAAATTACTCTTCACAGAACACAAAACCTAAAGTAGTATGAAACTGAGGTGTATCAGATACCACAGGGGAATTAGCAATGTTTCAGGGAAGGGAAACTGAACCAGAGACAGGTAACTCAAAAGGGGCTCTGTTACAGAACCCTAGCTGACACAGGGTGTGCAGCAAGGGGTCTAGTGGTGAGAGAAATCCAAAGGGAACAGGGGGAGCTGTAGAAATTAGTGTGGTAGTGCGAGGGAGAGCAGAAGGCATAACTGGATAGAGTGCCAGAATTACCCCAAATATAACCCTAATATAAGGGGGAACTCTGCATTTCAATGCCTGATTGACAAACAGCACCCAGTGGCAGGACTGTCCTCTCTTTGTCTATGTACAGACATGCTATGGCCGCCTTCTGGTGATGCAACTAGGACCAAAGCCTTAGGTACTCACAAAATGAAATATTTGGAGCTGATGAACATCAGATGGCATGAAGGTGAGCAGGGCACGGTGGATGGACTGTAAGAACAAGCCAGAAATCAGAGTTCCATGTACTGGTTAGCAAAGCAGGAGCAGCAGTGAGATGATGTTTCCTCCACAGTGAATGGCATGACAGAGATCATGTATCATGCAACACTTCACCTAACAGATACACTCACAGTAGCGAAAACCGGCGGTGATGGGAAATGTGAGAGGTACCCAGCCTCAGCTCAACCTACTTTACTCACAAAGCTAGTTTTCAGAGACAAGGTTAAACCTGGGGCTGTACCATGGTTCTGGACCTGAAAAGTGCACCATGGTTAACTAACACAGTGCACTCACACAGTACAGACCAGCACAAGCAGCATTGTAACAAGTAATCTTGATTGACGTCACAGAAGAAAATAATTACATGAAGAAGAGAAAAGAAAAAGCTAGCAAAAAGGAGTGTTATACTTTTCTCAGCAGAGCTGAAGAAAAATGTCCTACCTCCTAGGACACTAGCAAAAAACTGGGGAACACTGGGAGTAGAAAGGGTTATCCTGGGCTAGCAAGGTCAAAGATTAAACCAATATAAGCAACGTCTTGATGGACCTTAAATAACAAAGAGAAAGTGGCAGTGAAGTGCAGAAAGCAGTATCCACTCAGAAATTATATTGCAGCTTACAGTATTCAGACTAATGAATTATGACTATCTACTATGGTCTACTGACAATTCTGTGCATTGAATCATAGTCATATAAGCATGCAACACACATGGAAATATGCTCTACATACCCAGTGTACCTATGTGTTCCCAGGCTTGTTCAAGCGTGTTCAGTTTTTCTTTAGTGATTTCCAGTTCTCTTATGTAGGAAGTGATCTGTGATCTTAAGGATGTATTTTCATGCTGTTGAAAGGAACCATGAGATTAAATAGTTTTCCTTTTCACAGGGACACCAAAACTGTATACAGTTCATTTACTGTGAGTAAAAGTAGCTTTGCATACCTTAAAGCTGCATATCTCAAAATGGTGTTCCCGGGGTTTTATTTAGAAATCACGCTGTGACTTAGTCACAACTTATTAATGACAGCTATATTTACAGGATTCATCTCCTTTTTTGGAAATCCAGTTTAGGGATTATTATTGTGAAAAATAACCCAAAATTAGCTACTTAAGCAAGCACGATATCCCTTACATATGGCCACTGGTACGGTGCCCTTTCTATATGGCCACCGTTAAGGTGCCCTTTCTATATGGCCACCTGTAAAGTGTCCTTTCTATATGACCCCCGGTAAACTGCCCTTTTTATATGATCACGGGTATAGAGCCCTTTTTACATGGCCACCGGTAAAGTGCCCTTTTTACATAGCCCCGGGTAAAGTGCCCTTTTTACATGGCCACGGGTAAAGTGCCAATTCTATATGGCCACAGGTAAAGTACCCTTTTTTTTATAGCCACCGGTAAAATACCCTTTTTTATATGGCCACCAGTAAAAGACCCTTTTGATATGGCCACCGGTAAAGTGCCCTTCTTACACAGCCACGGGTAAAGTGCCCTTTTTACATGGCCACGGGTAAAGTGCCCTTTTTACATGGCCACTGGTAAAGTGGCCATTCTATATGGCCACAGGTAAAGTGCCCTTTCTATATGGCCACGGGCAAAGTGCCCCTTCTATATGGCCATAGGTAAAGTGTCCCTTCTATATGGCCACCAGTGAGTGTGGCCCTTTGCCCTATATGGCCACCAGTAAGGTGCCCTTTCTATATGGCCACCAGTAAGGTGCCCTTTCTATATGGCCACCAGTAAGGTGCCCCATTGGGTAAAGGTGCCCATTCTATATGGCCACTGCTAAAGGGCCCTTTCTATATAGCCACCAGTAAAGGGCCCTTTTAATATGGCCACCATTTGGGCCCTTTTGCAATGATCAGTTTTATTCAGTTTTTCAGTTAAAAAAGGTGGAAGAAAAATGCATCCATTTAAATCCTGACTGACCACTCTTACCCTAGACACAAGGTGAAGAGTGTGTGTGATATATAACAAGATAAATTTACTAAACAATGCCAGTTTATACAGTATAAAATTTGTTGCTAGCTCTCCCTATACATATGCCCCTAGATTTACATCAGCTGGGCAGAAGTAATACTGGTCTGCAAGTTGTTATTATTATTATTATTATTATTATTATAAATATTACATGGTGGATGCAAAAAAGTTACCTCCAAATGCTCTAGGTTTGCTGTCCTCTGTACAAGCAGATTATCCTTCTGCAGCATATCCCTGTATTTGGCAGTTAGCTCATTGTACTGTTTATTGGCCATTTCTAACTCTGAAGAAGGTACACTGTAATCCAAGGCTTTTTGTAAAGCCGCCATTTTGAAAGCAGCGATTTCCTGTTAAAGAGGAAAAAAAAGACAATTTTAAAAATGTAATATCTTTAATACCAAGTTTGTTTCCCATAATAATCAAGCAGGTTAAAATAAATGCCTGAATCAACTGTGTGCATGTAAGAGATTAAAAGATGGGCCGCACTCCAAATCATTTGTCATCAGAGAAGAATGCTATTATAGATAAATAGCAAAACTAATAAACTAAAAGAAAATTTTCTATATACAATGCGGTGAGGGGCCCTAGGGTTTATCATGGCTGTGGAGAAAATATATATTGCAGGTAAGTATAACTAATTCCCTTGATAGATAATCCTATTCTTTGCAGCCACCCCAGTAACACAAGTATAATGTGTCCTGTTGGGTCAGATCTCTGAAAATTAAGGAAATGCTAGGATATACATTATATTTAGATGGGACAGTCAAATTTAACAATGTGTAAGCACTACAACAACACACAACAGTTTAACCTGAATACCAGGAAGAGTGAAAAAATGATGAATAGTGACAGAGGTACTTGACTTAAAGATGATGTGCAGTACACTGCCCTATGTGTTGTGTACAGTGAGGGTCATCAAGATTTTTAACATTTTGGTTATCACCTTCCCTTTTTCACCAGGTAGCAATACCTGTCTACACTCTACACTGCAAGAAAGACTTTGTTGGATGGCCCTCTGTGATTAATTGGGAAGGCAATTTACTTCAAGAGGAGTAAAAGGATGAGAGCACCAAGCCATAGGGATTGCCCCAGATATGAATTTTTAGTTGTCATAATAAAAGGGTCTACGATTTACTGATTGTCAACTCTTGATATCCCAATTTAATTGTGATTGTTATCAATTCATACCTGGACTGATCCCTACAGCTTGGCAATCTCATCCTTTCACTTCATACACACTGAACTGCCATGGAACCATGCTGGGGCTCCAGTGGGCAGTAGAGAGCTTCCACACTATGGCAAAAATTTGATTCATGCTGGATGTTCACCAAGCCAGGTGCACTCTGCACCATCAACCAAGTCAGATTATTTTTTTACAACATATAAGACATCTTACCACCTTTCTTATTTGACTAACTAGGAGAACATTTTGCCTTGTGTGAGATTGCCACAAGCAACTTTGTCTTAAAGCTTCACAAAAAGAAAAACTTTTTTTTATTTTCAATAGAGTAAGGGAGGGCTATAACCCTTGTCCCCTTCTTGTCCTGTAACCATAACATGAAGTGAGAGGTAATCCCTCTAAAGTGAAAGTCACCAGAACTAGTGTCCCCATTGGAAGATTTTCCCTCTATTCCTGTTCTGATATCAACCCTGAATTTGGGATTTTCTTTTTACTTTCACTTTCAGTGATAATAGTAAACAGGACAAATATAGAGGATAAATCTCCCTAGTGGTGGCAGAGGCAGCTATAAAACCTGACAGGGGTTCTAACTCCTCTCCACTGTATCTAAAACAAATATAAATGCCCTTAGTGACACTTTATGGCCATTACAGCCCTTTAATGTAGACAACAAAACAAATGACAGTGCTTACACGTTAAAATGATACAAGCATGCAAATATATATATTTTTCGCCAGCAAACGTCACAACATTATGTCTCTGGTCATATTAGGTATCCACAAAACTTGCAGCTTTCACCTTCAGACTAGGCATCTCTTAAGCATATAAAAAAAAAATAAGACAGACAGCACACTGGCATTGTAACATACCATTGAACAAAATGTATTGTAAGAAACAACTGGTACTTACAATGAACATAAAAATAGGCTCACCACATCAAATCCAATGGCAGCCTTCCCAACAGTGACACCTGGGTGTGATATCCCTCCTACTGACTTTCTCGCTATTAACGCTAACTTGCGTGCATGCTACCTTACACAGAGTTCTCAGGGACAGGGACTGTTCTTGAAATGTGTCAGCTAGAATGCCATATGCTCAGCAGTGAGTGAGTTGGTAGGAAAGAGATCACACACAGATATCCCTGCAGGGAACACTACGGATTGGATTTGATGTTATAAGTCTATTTTTATCTAAACTGTTTGTAAGTTCTTTTTCCAATAAGGTTTTGTTGATATGTCACAATGCCAGTATGCTTTCCATCAATTTTTCAGTAAGCCTATAACATATCCTAGTAACTTAATCTGCTGTGAATGTATATTACCAGCCAGTAATTTAGAACCCCTGACTGCAATTAGAGATTAATTGCTTTCCCAAATAATATGAATATAATAGAAAAATCCACAACAAAACACTAAAACCCATGTCTAGGCTCTGTAAAGATGTGAAAAATAGGTTTTGCACATACATCAGTTAAGACATTTTACGGTGTAAAGTCATACTGTTAAAGGAAAAAACATTTTACAAAGCATTTCATTTTTACATAGAAAACAAATGGTATTGAAATGGTGAATTACATTTCATCAGAAAAAAAACGCATACCACAGGAACTTTCTTCATACCTTATACCTCTGCAGGTACCCGATTCTTTCCCCTACTGCAACCTCCATGTCAGATATGTCATCCCTGAGTTTGCTATTTTCTTTACGCAGATGCTGTTCCATTTCCAGTAAAGTTGTATATCGCCTGGTTAGGGACTTTTCATTTACTCTCAATACAGTCATCTTTCTTGAGATTTCTGCCAGCAGTTTTTTAATTTCATCTGGACCAATTTTTAATGATTCTAACAATTTCTGTTGTGGAGAGAGTAAGAAAGCTCATTAATAATACAAGAAGCAATCCATTAAAGATGGCATCCTCCAAAATGACTGAGGGGGACACTGATTAAAACTGGTGCACTCAGAATCTAGAGCAGCTGTGCATGGTAGCCAATCAGCATCTTAGGCTGGCCATACATTATACAATTATCTTCCAATTTTCTGTTTAGGTTTATCCTTCTATTATATGGTTTTTGGTAAATCTAAACCACAAATCTCCAGATAATTGTATAATGTATGGCCAGCCTTACTTCAGCTTGTTCAATTAAGCTTTGACAATAAAGCCTGGTACAAACACAGGCACACACGGACACAGGTGACTATGCAGTATTTGCACAAATTGTGTGTTGAATTGCCATCTGGTTGTGCAGAATCCTTTCCCTGGAGCACAGTGGCTTAGTGGTAAGCACCCTTGCCTTATAGCAATGAGGTCCTCACTTTGAACCCCAACCAGGGCACCACTTTCTGGAATTGTGCATGTTCACCCTGTGCTTGTGTGGGATTCATCTGGGTACTCTGGATTCTCCTAAGACATACACGTGGGTTAACTGGCTCCTGTATAAATTGGCCCTAGTATGTGTATGTATTTATGTGTGTTAGGGACCTTGCAAGCTCCTTGAAGGCAGGGACTTATGTGAATATGTAAAACGCATGCATACATCCTCCCCCCACATATATTTTATATATATAGCACTGTGCAAAGTTATAGGCAGTTGTGAAACAATGCTGTGAATTATGAATGCTTTCAGAAATAGAACTGTAAATTCCTCTATAGGTACGCTTGCACACAGTTTTTGAAGGAACTCAGCGGGTAGGTTGTTCCAAACCTCTTGGAGGAGTAACTACAGATCTTCTGTGGATGCAGGCTGCCTCAAATCCTTCTGTCTCTTCATGTAAAACCAGAAAGACTCCATGATGTTGAGAACAGGGCTCTGTGCGAGCCAAACCATCACTTTCAGGGCTCCTTGTTCTTCTTTACACTGAAAATAGTTCTTAATGATATGGCTCTATGTTTGGGGTGGTTTTTCAGCTGCAGAATAAATTTGAGGCCAATCACACACCTCCCTGATGGTATGGCATGATGGAACAACACACACACACAAAATATTGCCAAAAGGTATTCGGACACCCCTCCAAATAATTGGATTCAGCTGTTTCAATCACCTCCATGGCCACAGGTGTATAAAATCAAGCAGATAGGCATGCAGACTGCTTCTACAAACATTTGTGAAAGAATGGGTTGCTATCAGGAACTCATTGAATTCAAGCGTGGTACCATGATAGGTTGCCACCTGCGCAAGGTCCATTTGTCCATTGACGTTTTTGGGTTTAGCGGTTGACAGGAGAACGGTACTTGCCTGACTGCATTGTGCAAAGTGTAAAGTTTGGTGGAGGGGGATTATGGTGTGAGGTTGTTTTTCAGGGGTTGGGCTTGGCTCTTTAGTTCCAGTGAAGGGAACTCTTAAGGCATCAGCATACCAAGATATTTTGGACAATTTCATGCTCCCAACGTTATGGTTACAGATTGGGGAAGGCCCCTTCCTGTTCCAACATGACCGCACACTAGTGCACAAAGCAAGGTCCATAAAGACATGGATGAGCGATTTTTGGGTGGAGGAACTTGACTGGTCTGCACAGAGTCCTGACCTCAACCCGAAAGAACACCTTTGGTATTAAATAGAGAGGAGAATGCAAGCAAGACCTTCTCATCCGACATCAGTACCTGACTTCACAAATGCGCTTCTGGAAGAATGGCCAAACATTCCCATAGACACACTCCTAAACCTTTTGGACAGCCTTCCCAGAAGAGTTGAAGCTGTTATAGCTGCAAAGGGTGGGCCAACTCAAAATTGATACCTATGGACTAAGACTGCCATTAAAGTTCATGTGCGTGTAAAAGCAGGTCCCCCAATACTTTTGGATATATACACTGCTCAGAAAAATTAAAGGAACACTTTTTAATCAGAGTACAGCATCAAGTCAATTAAACTCCTGGGATATTGATATGGTCAGTTAAGTAGTAGAGGGGGTTGTTATTCAGTTTCAGCTGCTTTGGTGTTAATGAAATTAACAACAGGTGCACTAGATGGGCAACAATAAGACGACCCCCAACACAGGAATGGTTTTACAGGTGGAGGCCACTGACATTTTTTCCCCCACTCTTCTTGTCTGACTGTTTTTC